CACAGACAGGAGATATAATAATAATTTATATGATTTCGCATATATATTTAATTTGCCAACTCAACTTTTTCGCTCCGATTTGCGTGCCATTTCTGAGATGCTTTTTACCCCTGAGTCACGTTCAATGTCGCGATCCCAAGCGTGATTCTTCATTGCAAATTGGCCAAGACAAAAAAAATGAAAGAAACCAAAGTGGCTAAAAGGTACTTTGCACCATCACTTAACGTTGCAGCTTCCATTTTAAGTATGGGGGTCTTCCACAGGCGCCTATCAACAATGTGGATTAAATAAAATTACCTTTTTGTGCGACAAGCAATTACTTCTCAATTACAAATTTACTGTCTTGGCCCGGCGCTCTCCTTACTTTTTATGATTATTGCATTCAATAAAACTAAATTGCTTTGGAAATTGGTCTCGTTTGGCCACTTGCCAGTCGTTTCTTCACTGCGGGCGCCATTTCTCAGCTTTCATTTTGCTAGATGGCTTTAATTCCCAACTATTTATAATAATTACTAAAGCAAATAAACCCACTCAAACACAAAAAAGCGGATCCGTAACTATAAAAAGAGTTGGTTGAGCGTGAGCGTCAGAGATCATTGGGGCAGGGTCTTTAACTGGGACGCAGGGGCCCATTTCGAACTGACCAAGACCAAGAGAAGACCAGAAACCATAAACCTCGGATACAAAGAAGCCTACGACGACGCGGGGTCTGTCTCGAATTTTTTATTCCATTTCAGCTGAGCAAGCAACTCACAAAGTCATCGTCACTGCCGCCGATTGACCCCAAAGTTTGTTGTACGCGGAGTTGAGTGCCTGGAAATTCAAATGGGTGAAAGGGGTGCCAAGAGTATTCCCAAAGTTTTGATGAAGTAATAAAGAAAAGTGGAAAAAGTTTAAGTGGGGTCTTCAAAAGTTGCTGATGTGCTAATGGAGAGTTCGGAAATTGTTTTCTAGTCGTTATAGAAAAAGACAAATAAACATTTAATGTAGTGGTATACTATTAAAACTAATTAATGCCTTAGGTTAATAATAATAGTTTTTATAACTAACAAAATTTAATTATATTCTCATTATAAAAGACAATAAAACCTCTCATCTTATGTTTAGTTGATTAGCTTACACTTGCAGCTCAAGTGCTTAATTTAAACATTTTATAGAGCTCACAAATCGTTTTGCCATTATTTATAACTAAGTAGAATTGGCTCTTAACTTGAAAAAGTAATGTCATGTGGTGAATGCTAGACACTAAAATCTTTACGTGACTGGCGGCACTTAAGAACAGTGAACACCTGTGGCTTTACACACAAATATCAAATTATCTTGGTTAGTTCGTAGGAAAACCCATCTTCGTGGGCCAATATGTTTTCTCCCTAACTTGTTGGTTTATCTAATTGGTAAATTTAGCTACTTGCTACAAAATTGAGCAACTCAAGTCAAAACAAAACTCCAATTAAAGCGATCAATCAGGCTGCCCTTTAATTTGGGAGTGGAATTGTGTTGATGGGGGTCTCGGCGATTTCCTACTTTCGCTAATAAAAAGTTTGTATAGTATCAGGTGGATTTATGGAGTGAACTAACGACGAGACGTACAGTTTATGTTGGCTAACCGAGTTCGTTTTTTATTTCTCCTAGTGCAGGCTAATCACATGTTTCCGCCCCAAAACCGTCTAAAAGAAAAATAGCCCCTGGTGGTTGGTTGTCTGCGGTTTTGCGCTTTAATAACTTCATTGTCAATGCAACATACGCTCCAAGTTGCACACTCGACAAAAAACACACAAAAGCAAGCAGCCAGGCTTGACTTTGAGGCATCCAGTGGAAGTCCACATTGTCTACCAGACTTGATCTAGATGCAGTGTCCAGTACACCGAAAATAAATAATATGTATGTTAATACCTTTATTAAAATTCATATTTTTCAACGGACTTTATCGGTATTCAATTTTTAACAGCAGAAGCATGCTTTCCCACTGTATACTGTGTGTGTGTCGGCAGAGCGGCGGCAGAGACTGTTTCTATTCCGCGCTGCTTCTGCTTGAAAATACTGATCTAGGTGTATATATTTCTTATATCCAATAGTTATATCCAATATTACGGTACCTTCCGATTTAGCATTTTAACAAGGCGATTAACTATAATAGAGCTATACCGTATACCATCCAATTTCTTTCGGTGCACTAGCTGCACAGTAGCTCTGGCTGGACAGAGGAGATGGCTATCATTTATGGCTTAGATTTATGTATACGTATATCGGCAGCACAAGGAAGCGTTGAACCCGTGTAGAGAGATGTCGGGTCTTCTTAGTTGCTGCGATGATTCCACAAATCAAGCGTCGTACATTGAGATCATCACCACCGGCTGTCTGTCTGATCTCGGGCTACAGGTTTATTTCTCGATCGGTGGTGGGTAGTTTTTATGTGACCGAGCACCGTCGGGCGGTCTTGGTATTAAACTCGACTTGCCTTATTTAGTTTTTGGTGTTTTATGACTGCATGACTCGGACACGATCGTTTTTATACACCCGCACAAACGGGGCGAGTCGGTAGACTCAATAAAGAAGGATTTACACATAAGGCATGATTGTATTAGATCAGAGGGCTCCTCAACTTCTTGATGGTCGGTAAATATTTATCCATCATATAAACAAGAAGCTAACTTTTCGGAAAAATATTTACATATTCTTCCAAGTATCTGTTTAGCTAGAATCAGTTATATCTTAACAATCAGTTTTTGGGAACTCGTTAGCTGGCATTAAGATAATAATACATTGTTTAACATACATAGTGATGAGTTGTTGAGGGACTTCTTGTAATTCCCTTTATTATGAACTAGGTTTATCCAGGGCGTGTCACTTGTGTTCTTCTGATCCGGGTGAGCCCCAATGATACAAGACAATGCGTTACAGACTTCAAAAGCCACACGAAGCAAACATGACCACAGACCTCGCCCATCGAGCATATCCGTACCACCCTCTTTACATTTGGAACCGCAGAAATCTAACAGCGGCCACAAAAATTACACAGATCATTTCGAAATTTACATTGGAATGATTTTTTTATTTATGCGGCGAACAAACAAACGCAGGGTGAATTAGGCCTTTGATTAGATACAGATACGGATATGGTGCAGTGATCCCAAAAACAAACTAGGGGGCAAGCCCCCCTTGGGCTAAATATTCAATAGATTTGATGATATTACAACAGTTCCAAGTGAGTCTATTAAAAGTCATTCGCCCAGTGGGGAACCGCCAGCTGCGGATGAATCAGCATTCGGTTTTGTTATTATTATTGTTGTAACACTTACAACACTTTTCATGTTGTATGGGGGGGGAGGGGGAAAAGCTGCGGGCATGGATCTTATAAATAGATTGATTCCCACGCCCACGTTTCTATTTCTAGGTCTTGTGTGCGGCTTTTCTCAGGTCTTATGTCGATTGCTTCACATGGCATTGCATTGTCGCCGCCAGTTTTTCTCTCCCTTTCCTTGAATTGTGCAATTTGGCGAATTTCCACCTTGGCTTCCCTTTTGTTTGGTTTATTTTCCCTGGTTTCGAGCACTTTCCTTTTGCCGTTTTGTTTCCCTAGCTGCCTAATTTGTGTTATTTTCCCGTAATAATTACTGACCGTTTACCCGTTGTTCCAATTTCTTTCATTTCGCTCGCTATTTTCCCTGGCCTAACCCGCAAAAATACGTCAATGTTTTGGTTTTCTCTGGTCTGCATTAATATTTTTCTTCCGCAATACTTATGACCAATTCGCTCGCTCTTCCCACCCAACTAAAAATAAATTCCCACACATCCAAAATATGTGTGTTGGGATTGTGTGGGGCTATATAAAAATTTCAATTTATAAACTTTTCACCATTTTTCGCACAACATTTCACTCACCTCCCTCGGTTCTCGTCCACCACCTGCTGTTGTCTTGGGACAGTGGGTCAAAAGTTGAGTAAGTTCGGGTTTTTAGGAAATACAAGTGACTATAAAAAGTTTATCAAATATACACAAGGTATCATCATCACTATAAGTATTTATATTATTATTTTAAGTATTTAAGGAAAAGCGATCTTAAAGATCTGAAGAACATAAATTCTATCCATTGGAATTTAAGGAAAAGCGATCTTAAGGATCTGAAGAACATAAATTCTATCCATTGGAATTTATGTTCTTCAGATCGCTTTTCCTTAAATACTTAACATAACATTATTATTAATCTTAAACATTATATAGTAAACTTATTTAGATTTTTTTAACCCTATGTAACTCTTTAAACCTGAGTTTGATTTTGAACCTCACAGGACATTAAGAAGTAGAAACTGTTCATTATAAGCAAGTCTTTCTTGTTAGATACAACATTTTGAAACCTTTTATAGTAATGTCAATCCGTTTTCGAATCTCTTATAATCTTTCTTAATGTCAACCACTGTTGACCGGCGTCAACGACTCGTGTTGTGAGAGTTCTAAAATTAAATATTTAAATTTGTCGTCTTTTCATTCAGCTTCGCTCTGCCGCCTTTATAACGTTATAAACTTTGGTCATAAAACTCATCTTTATTTAAATAAGCAAGGCTCATTACTCAGCCTTCCAATCAATATGGGAAAGAGTCTAGGCGAAGGAGAAACCAATTCGGCGGAAACTGGAAGATGAATCACGTTGGAAAAGGGGACTTAACCGGTGGAACAATAAAAGCAACTGATCAGCCTTTAATTTAAGGCCCTCGCTGATAAGGAAAGTGCCCGAAAGATAAATTAATGATAGTGAGGGGGAGGAGATAACGCTTTTTGCCAGAATCAGCGTAACAACTTCCGGTGGGGGTACAACAATAACAATGGGTGGGGGGTGGTGGAACGTCTCTCTTTCTTTCTCTCTCTCTCTCTCTCCTCTCTCTGGCTTTTGCTCCCCCACAACAACACACAGAAATTGAAGCATGGCAATGCCGTCAGCTGGTTTCTCTCTCACTCTCGCTCTCTCTTACTCTTTTGATCTGCGAGTTTTTTCTGGCTTTGCATTCAATTCTCAACGATTCATTGCCGCGTACGGCTGCAAAAGTTTTTTTTTGTTAATTTAACATTTCTTAGCTCGCTGCGTTTTCCGTGTTTTTGTTTTATAATGTGCAGTTTCGACTATCAGTACAAACGTAGCATTAAGTTAAAAACGAGATTGGCCATTGCTGGTTAAAAGCGATCGATGTAAATATATAATAAAAAGTGCGAGTGCAACGCTCATTGCGTGACTTTCCATCAAGCTCAATATATGTACAGATATAACAAATATATATAAATGCGCAGCGTTTTCTTATCGCATGCTAGATTGTGTGTGTGTGTGTTTGATTTGTGTGATTGTGTGTGATTGCAGCAGAAAGTACGTGTGTGTATGTAGGTTATGGCAAAATTAGCACCAAAATACCATCATCTCCCATGTAACAAAAAGAAAAGAAAGAGATAAGAAGTAGCAACACGCAACCAACTGTTGTTGGCTTCTCCGCCTCCCCACCTTTATCTCATTTTATCGCTGTTTCTCCGCCTTGTTGTTTGCTTATCATCGATGCGGTGACACAATTCAAGTTTAATCGAAGCGACAACAAATTGAAAAGTGTGAGGAAAATCTCAGTGATGTAATTTGCATAAACAACAACAACAGCTATAACAACAACAACAATCATCGGCTTTTTTGCAGACCGCAGACTAAACGCATACATAATTTTTGGAGTGACTTCAGGTTTGGAGGTACAACTACCCCATGTAGGCAGCTCTTTTTTGCCGTCTCTGCTAAACACACTTGTCGCATGTGGAGTCCCTCGAGTTTGTGATTAAAGCTGCTTGAATCCGATACGATACGGGTAAATAAATAAATAAACACCGGGTTGAGTGGAGGTAAATAATGTGGGCTACACCGGAAAATATAAATACAGTGCCTAAACAATAAAAACCCTTAAATTTTAACAGATGGGTTAATATTACGTTTGAAAATGTTTAAAAGAAAGTTGTCTATAGGCAACGTGAAATTTCTAATAAGATCTTATAAAATTATTCGGAGATCTGGCTTATGTAAGAAATAAAGCTAAGAGCTAATGATACAAATATAAAACTTTTTTTTATTAAAGAAAAAATTAACCTATAAAATACATTTTACTTTGTTAGCTTGAAACCACTCACCAAGCCTGTCATAGATGAAAAACCAAAATCCCAAGTCTTATATCATCACATTTATTGGTTGTTCACGTTAAGACAGTATTAAATAAAAAAAAATTCCACGTTAAAAAAAAACTTTGTTAGCTAAACTAAGGTGATTATAAGAACCGTGAACTGTAAGCAATAAATATTTAACTACCATGACTAACTGGAACACTCGTATCTTAACCTTCTTTGTCTTGCAAATCACAGTTTTGCCCAGACGATGTAGATCAAAACAACTCATTGCTTACAAATATTTGTTATTATTTAATTCGAAAAAGGTGAAAAACACAGTGATTCACTATTTAAGAAGTGATTTGATTTTTTATCAGTTGCGTGACCTTACACTTATAACGTCGTTTACTGTAAAGAACAATCTGTAACGGAATTTCTCACACTGTGAATCATCCCTGTGATGAAATGGTTTTGATATTTAAAAACCAGTTCCGATTGACGATTTTGTACGTGTTGCCTTAATTTCCTCATTTACATTTCGGGAGTCTCTTCTGCAAGTTCTCTATCTCCTTTCTTATAGAGTTTTATTGAGTTTTAAGAGTTTTTCAAGTCAAAAAAAAATATTTTACAATACAAATCAGCAGGCACGTAAATATTTTTAATTTTATTGTTTTTAACTGACACTTAAAGATCAAAATCTATTAAAATTCATCACACAACCTCTTGATAAAGCTGATTTTCGGGGTAATGAAGTCGTAAAGTGTCAAAAGAGTAGGGCTATAAAAAGGAAGCCATATCTTAGCTTGTCTGGAGACTCCTTAAATCTTAGTATTAGAAAAACTTTAGGGTTAAGGGTATTCTTGAAGTCATAGAAAAGTAGGGGATTTTTAAAGCTGGGATTAGCCGTATTTAATCTTTTGCTTTGGCAAGGGCATCTCATTGTTGAAGCAAGGCAATCTACTGGCCTCTATAGCTAACTGAAAGAACCGGCAAATGCCTTAAATACCGCAGACGCCCACAGAACGATGGCAAGGTGCTGAGTGACTGCCACGAGATATAGACTCGCAGATAGCCAGTAGTTTGATTCCGAGCGATTCCAAACGATTCCATTCGACTTGAGTCACAGCCGGTGGCGGTTGTCGGTGAAATCCAAGCAGGTCTTCCACTTTGTTCCCTTCCCCCTGCCCCCTGGCATCCCATCTTGGTCCACCTGGCTCCACAGCTCCTCCAAATCCCCCACTTCCTCCCCCGATTCCGTCTCCTCCGCTGACGTGTGTGTCATGCGGATGGCTGGCCAGCAGAAACGTCAGCGGCAGTCGCGGCTCGTCGTCATTTGCTGCTTTTAGACAATGCTACAAGTTCCTACACCTACGACCTAGAATTTGCCGAATATGTCAACAGGTATATACTCTATTCGTGGCCGTAAAGCGAATAAACTACGCACACACACACCCCGTCTATATCTCTAGTTTTCTATACACGCTATAGCTATCTATACATATGTTCGTACATGTTTGTATAAAGAAAAGGGGAATTCATTTAAATTTATTTATGTTATTTCTTCTTTTTCCTGCAAAATTCATTTCGATTTGTATTTATAATCTCTCGGGTGGTACTAAATCTATTGCAACATATGAGAACACTAATCCTAACGAATGAGGTATGTTTGTTTGTTTTTCAAAAGGAAATGCAGCAACTGAAACTGAAAGTGTGAAAGTGTAAAGTATTGCAATTCGAACTTGCATGAGAATTACCGCCCCCTTGAAAGTTCAGGGGCCTTTGTAACGGTAACCAAGGACGCACACTCGCTATCCCTTTCCCACCTGTTTGCAGCATGCGCACTGCGATTTTCCCGAACAGAAAAAGGGAAATGGCTCAGGGCCAATACGGTGGTTCCATGGTGTAATGGTTAGCACTCTGGACTCTGAATCCAGCGATCCGAGTTCAAATCTCGGTGGAACCTGAACCTGGCTTCTACGGGGTTCTTATTTTACCAGGTCTAATATTATAGTAAAGTATTAAAGTAGTTTTATTAAAAATCTTGAGATTTCTAGGCCATTCAGTTGTTTCTAACAATTAGGTTGTTAGGTATAGGTAGTTTTAAAGATAACTGCATCATAAGATTTTGGTTTGCGGTATTATCTATCCTTAAACCTTATTTTCAAGAATAGCTACTTGATTTCATTTAAATAAAAATAAGCTTACATGCCAGTATAGAATAATCCATGTCGATATGAATAAATGACCGTTAAAAATATAATAACTTGTGACGAATCTTATAATACTTTACATGAAACGAATTAATAGCACAGTGGACAGTTTCAAATGCATTCTTTTGCTCCGGCCAGTGCGTTCTTAAAACAATATCCATATATCTTAATGCGTATAGTATAGTATATCTATAATCCATTCTGCTTTTACGCTTGTATTTGCGTTAATAGACAAATTTATGTGACGCTACGCACACGCACCCCATCGAAAGCCATAAATTAGATCACACAAAAATGTGAGAAAAAAAAATATAAACACGAACAAATCGAGTGAACCGCCCATAAGAACCGAACCGAATCTCAAGACACAACCAACCCACACCAAGAGCAACATAAACACAACCCATCGATGTTGGTCAGTCGAACAACAAGTTTTGGAGTTCAGTTTCGGTTTGAGATTGCCGCCGAGTGTGTAAAATGCAAATTGTCATGTCACTTGGCCGCAGGGCTAATTCAAGCCAAGCACTTTCCTCCGCAACAGCCAACAAACAGACAATTGCCCGCTGTAATGTTTGATAAAAAAACACTCGCTCGTGAAATCAAGCCAAATTGTGTCAAGGGGCTGCATGACAACGAGCGGCAACAACAATAAAAATTAAATAAAATTAGCGACTATTTTGCACGAAAAAAGGGGGGAGGGGGGATCAGGGTTCCGAGATCAGCGAGAGGGGCGAAAAACGCTTGAGCAACTTTGCCCCAAAAGTTGATGGACGGCTAACTGAGCGCCCTACACACGCGCCTTGTATTGGCCTCTCTTTCTGTCTACACGGAGGAAAACTTACACTTCTTATAGACAAACTAAAGAAACTGTGACTTTCCTAATATAATCTCGAATCTGGTTTGAAACCCACGTTCTATGGTGTGCCTTAAAGCAATGGTAATACTTGTAGCTAGGATCATTAGTAATTTTAAAAATGTACGCACTTTTGATCCGTTAAAACCTTTTAAACAATATACCAAAAAACCCCAAAATAAGCTGAAAAATATTTTCTAACCAGCATAGTCAATATCATAATACTATAACATAATATGTGATCTATAAGTTTATTATGTTCCGTATTATGATCCTTTGTTTGTGAACCATCATATCATATTTGGGTGTTCTATCCAGCATTACTAATATCAAAATATTATTCCACAACATATGATTTATAATGTTATTATGTTTGGAACTATGATCCTATCTTTGTGAACCATCATATCATATTGGGATCAATATTATTTTTCAGATCTATGATCTATAAGTTTTTTTGTTGACGATTGTGTTTTTTTCCATGTACTTCTTTGGTCTCTCTTTCCCACAGTTTGCGTGTGTGGGCGATGGCATAATGGGGTTTTCGAACGACATTGAACTCGAAAAAATTGAAAAGTGTCGGCGGCCCATGCAAACCAAGCTGTCTTTGACTTTGCTTTACTCCCATTCGTGTGTGTGCTCCCTCAATTTGTTTATGTTTTCTATTTCGCCTTTGCTTTTTCTGCAACACGATCAAAAACAAAATCGAAATTTAGTTCTGTCGATTTGCTGACTGCTCCAAACGGTACACTAGAATCCCCATTTATATGTCCGAACCCTCTACTAACACGCCTCTTTAATTGTTTGTATGTTTTGCAGAAGCCAGAGGAGGATCCGACCGAAAGATAAACGCATTGGATTGCAATTTGTGCTGGCCCAGCGAGAAACTGAGAAAATAAGCGCAGAAAGAGCCTCCAAGAAGTCGAATACACATCGGTAAAATGGTGGACTACTATAAGGTCTTGGATGTGGCGCGCTCAGCTACCGACAGTGAAGTGAAAAAGGCGTAAGTAAATAAATAAAAATAAATTGGGAACCATGGGGCGAAGCTTTCAATGTTATATCCGGTCGAAAGCTGACATTGCCATAATCAACTGAGTATAGCAATATATTAGGGTGAATCCCCATTTAACGAAGACGATTCTTCAGAATTTCAACTATACCTTGATTAATGAACTTAATGTTTTAATGAATAGGGTTCCATTTTGGGAGAATTCGTATTAAGATATTATATAGGAAAGAAACTTTGAGTATAACTATTAAATTACACGTAATGTTTTCTACATTTAGGATGGGTGTATATTAAATAATATATTATATCTTACAATATTTTTATCCACAGATATCGAAAACTAGCTCTGAAATGGCACCCAGACAAGAATCCCGACAACCTGGACGAGGCCAACAAACGCTTCCGCGAGCTGTCCGAGGCCTATGAAGTCCTGTCCGATGGTAAGTGCCTGCTAGAGAACAGAAGTAGCCAACCACTTCTTCGAACCCATAAACAATAAAAGGGGGAATTCCGTTATTCGAGATAACGTGATCCGTGATCTGTAAGATGTCATGGAACAAATGCTAAGTTTCTATTGTGTGTTTAGCCCGTAAGCGCAGGATCTACGATGCACGGGCTACGCTGCACAAGTCCTCAACCACCGGAAGCAGCAGCAACAGCAGCAGTTCCTATTCCCGCTACCGCAGTGGTAGCGGTGGAGCCTCGTCCTACGGTCGGGACTACGACTACGACTACTATCCGAGCTCGGGCTACGGATCGGGTGCCGGCAGACGGTCCGGCAACCGCTACCAGGCCTTCACCTTCCGCAACATTTTCGAGGGAACTCCGTTCCACAAGTTGTTCGGTAAAGGCCAGAAGCAGTTGCAGTTGTTTTGGTTACTTTGGTTTCGCTGACTGACATTCTGGCGCACGTCGTTCTGTTCTTGTTTCTACGTTTTGCAACTAAATGCTGTTTCTTGCAGTGATGGGATGTATCTATATATTTGGTTTTGCTTAGATAAATACTTTTCTAAGCATCTTGGCAAAAAAAACCAGTGCATATCCTAGTTACAGTGAATAACTGAGTTTAAAAATTTTAAATATCGACGTAAGATCATTTAAAGATAATGTATTTAAAAGAAGGAGTTCCTTGTTAAGTTCCATTTTCCTTTTATAAGGTGTGATCTATCTTATCAAAGAGATGATGATAGAAAAAGTAGTTTTTAAACCGTAAAAACATGCACATTTTGAGTTTAAAACCCACGTCTATATAGTTATAATATCTTGTAACTTGGGTAAAGAGAATATATAGTACCCCTCCCATCACTGGTTCCATGTTAGGTCTAAGCTAACTCCCCGCTGCTCGAGCGTTAATTACTAACCACATTCAATTACCCTGATTTCCTTGACTCATCCTCTTTTTCGATTTATTTTCCACAGAGAAGAAGCGTCGAATCTACGACGAGTACGGCAAGGATGGACTGGGTGAACGTGGCCAGGGCCGCTCGCATGCCCGCCACCATTACAACACACACGATTTCGATGACTTCGACATTATGGGCGGCTTTCCGTTCGTCTTCCGCCCACCAGAGGAGGTGTTCCGCGAGTTCTTTGGCGTCAACTCGCCCTTCGCCGACTTCTTCAGAGGTAAGTTATGGGAAAAGAAACTTGAGCTCAAGGTGCTAGCTAATCTTTGCTGTTTTTGTTCAGATACCAATGGATATTCGAATGGCAGCACGAGTGGCTCAAGCAGCAGTCGACGCCATGGCGGCAGCAGCGGGGCGTCTCGCCACCATCATCACCACCAGCACAAATTGGCCAGCCCGTTCGGGGCTCCCATGCTCAACTACTCCATGATGGACTTCTTCATGCCCACCAGCGGCTTCACCTCGTTCTCCTCGATGACCAGCGGCAATGGCAGCAGCGGTGTCACCCACATCTCCAGTGGCCCCAGCGCCGGCGTCAAGCGCACCTCCACCTCGACGGTGTTTTTGAATGGCAAGAAACTGATGACCAAGCGGTAGGAAAAGATGATAAATCCATGCATTCTATCATTGTATTAAACAATATCAAACTTTATCATTATTTCAGGGTGGTCGAAAACGGCAAGGAAACGGTCTTTTCATATGAAAATGATGTCCTTAAATCAAAGACTGTGAATGGAGTTTCCCAAAAGCTCTCTTCAATAGCTAATTAATAAAATTCACACGTATAAACATATATATATATCAATATCAGCATCAGCACCGGCGTTTGCCGCAACAACCAATAACAGCAAACAAAAAATCAACAAAGAAAAAGTCATAAATGTAAAGCAGAATATTAACACACCACAAGAAGAACTCGGATTTCTTGAATGCTTCGATATATATGATACGTTTAACCATTTTGTTCTACATTAGAATTAAATTACTTTTAATGGAACGAACGAACAGCAGCATAAATGGATCAGCAGCCAGCGGAGGACCAAGCCAGAGCTCACCAACCAGCAGAAGTAGCAGAAGCAGAGCATTAACATCCACATCGAGGAACAAGGGCATAAGCAAACATATATTATCAAAATTCCTTGTGCTAGCGAATTGTCGAAATTTATAGTTTGCAACGGTGGAATAAAGCCAAAACCATCGGCAGCAGCAGGATCAACTAAAACACAACTGAAAATGCTAAGCGCTTAAGCAATTTAGCCACTAAGTTCTAGGGCGGGCCAGACTTATAGAGCTGTTCGGAGCGAGTGTGTTTCGGGTGTATATCTTTGGGGGGATAATTATGTATTTTTCGTGTATGTATCGTTAGTCGCTTAAGTTGCCACAATACTTACTAGGAAATTGAAAACTCAAAAGAGGAAACAAACAGATAAACGAAATTGATATGATTTGAATGGCTTTCGAGTTAATTTTTCTGTACATTGTAAAGGATATGAAATGAACGACTTGAAGCATATAAAATCCTTAAGGATGACATTAAATGTTTATAAATATTTCATAACCTAAACTTTTTATTAATTTTAATGCCGTATCCTAGCGTATAGTCGTTTTTTAAATGCTTAAGACTATTCTCACATAACCTGCAAAACGAATTCGAGGATAAATCAAACAAAATTAATCGTAACATAATCGCCCATAATTTAATAATTTTGTTTTAGTAGAGCCTCCATAATGAAAATAAAAGAAACAAAAAAAACATGAAAATTTAAATATAAAAAGAAGCGAAATAATTAATTCAAGTGTTTCTATCGTGCTAGATGGGTATAATTTTTATTGGGGGAACCTAGAATATTAGTTTAAAATGTATGTAATTTAAATTTAAAAAAAAAATTGTGAGTAACTGAAAATTTTATATTTTTACCACCATTGCGCGAAGTAATATTTGAATAAGGAATGCCATACACCGCTGAAGTCAATATAAAATTTTCTATCGATGGAATTGAAAACAGCAAGCTTTACTTATTGACCATTTTTTGCAAAAAACAAACATGAACATATTTTATGCCTACATCTAGGCGCTTTAGGAATTTATAATAGATCAACTTTCCTGACGAAATTGAACTGCACTGGCTGTCAGACACCAGGCAAACAGAAAACTTAGCAAGTGACAGCTGGTAGCTAAAGGTGCACTTAAATAACTGTTAATTTTCAAAATGGCGGCCCATATTTCCATATTTCCCCTTCCCCTACTGACCAATGGCAATCTATCACCATGGGAAACAACCGTTAGTTGAGAACAAAGCGCAGACTAGAGATGAGCAACTATGGCCGTTTCACGAGTTTGTCACGCTATGTACGAAATAAAAGTGAAATCCTATGCATTTGCATAGACCGTGCCAAAAGTAAGCAGTCACGAGGCCATCTCCAATTAGCTTCGATTAAACAAATCAGCTGATCGTTTCTCCACCTGCTAATCGTTTATGTTCGCCTGGTGTCTGAAGTTAAAAAATCTAGCAGTTTGACAATTTTCTCGACGAGCAAAAAAGGGATTTTGGATTTATGATTTCTATGAATTGACATTTCAATACGGTCTGAAATTTTATTTCTTGATCATTGACACCAGGCCAACATAATCCGTAGCAGGTGGCTGCTGGGCGTTTATCATTTTTTTTACTGGAAGTCAACCGTTAGTTTAGCATAAGCAGACTAGAGATGGGCAATAGCTTGTTCGGCAACAAAGTCTGCACATATTTTGAAGTGGCACACCTCTAGATAGGCCTTAAAAACTAATCGTTGGCCACCTGCGAATTTTCCTGCTCACTTGGTGTTTGAAATTGAAAAATCGCTAGTAACTTTAACAAATCAAAAGGATTCGTAACATATTTTTTGTCAAAATGATGGATTTATGGCTCTCAGACACCAGGCAAACAGAAAATTTAGCAAGTGACAGCTGGTAGCTAAAGGTGAACTTAAATAACTGTTCATTTTCAAAATGGCGGCCCTTTCCATATTTCCCCTTCCCCTACTGACCAATAGGAATCTATTATCATGGGAAACAACCGTTAGTTGAGAACAAAACGCAGACTAGAGATGCGCAACTATTTCCGTGTCACGAGCTTGTCACGATATGCACGAAATAAATGTGAAATCCCATACATTTGCATAGCCCGTGCCAAAAGTAAGCAGTCACGAGGGCATCTCCAATTACCTTCGTTTAAACAGATCAGCTGATCGTTTCTCCACCTGCTAATCATTTATGTTCGCCTGGTGTCTGAAATTAAGAAATCTACCTATTTGAGAGTTTTCTCTACGAGCAAATAAGGTTTTTTGGATTAATAATTTCTATTGACTTTTTAATTTGATTGTAGGGGATTTTGATTAATTTTTGGCGGTATCAATTTTCGATATCAATTACCAGGCGAAAAGATAGCGACCTTTGGCCAAGTGATCCTGATCAAGAATATATATACCTTATGGTGTCGGTAATGCATCCTTCTACCTGTTACATACTTTCGACGAATTTAGAATACCCTTTTACTCTACGAGTAACGGGTATAAATAGGTTCGAATCACTGGATTGAAGTTTAATCAGGTTTTTATGAATCAGCTCTATGATTCATTAGATCTGAAATTATCAATATGTTTTGTTAAATTATGTGTGATTAATAGTCGTGCACAAGTGTAATTTTTCTAATGGAAGTAGTTTACAAAAAATTACCAGAAGGACCAAGAAAAATTTGTATTTGAACGCCCGCCAACTCGAATTCTAATCGACGGTTGGTAATGCCGTGCATCTGGTCACACTTGGCCACCCTCCAAAAGGTGGTATTTCTCCACATTCCTCCCGCGATCACCTTTCGTGTAAATTATTAACAAAAAGGAGCAAGATTGGAGCAAATGGCCCAAAAATGAGTGATCACATGAAGTGGTTCCACTGCAACCTGTCCCGCGAGGCAGCCGACGAACTTCTCAAGCAAGGTGAGTCCCGAAACGGAGCCCTGGTGTCCCTGAACCCACAGATGAGCCTCGCGATGTGGGCGTGGTGGAGCCAAGACTAATGAAGACTAATGGAAATCGCAATCAACAGGTTACGAGGATGGGACATTTCTGGTGCGGGAGAGCAGCACGGCTTCCGGGGACTTTGTGCTGAGCCTGCTGTGCCAGCAGGAGGTGTGCCACTACCAAGTGCGGCGACATGGCGGCGAGGATGCCTTCTTCTCCATCGACGACAAGGTGCAGACAAAGATCCTGCACGGACTGGACACACTGGTGGACTACTACCAGCAGGCAGCCAATGGGCTGCCCACCAAGCTGACGGTGCCCCTGATCCGGGATCCGCCACCGCACAACACCCGCAGCCATGGGGTGACCAATCTGCTGCACCGCGCCACCAGCAAGAACGAAAGCAAGGTGGTCTTCGAGCTGCTCAAGTGCGGCTACAGGAACTTCGATGCCAAGAACCAGGATGGCCAGACGGCCCTGCATCTGGCGGCGCTCCACTCAGACGAGGTTATTCTGAAGGAACTGTTGAATGCAAAGGTCCAGGTCAACAGCTCTGACTCCTTTGGCTGCCAGCCATTGCACGTAAGTCCCCTTTTTAATCGAATATGTGTGCAGCTCTTTGTTAAAAGCATCCCATTTAATCCCTAGTATGCCGCTCGCTCCAAGCCGGCCAGTTTTATCCGCACCCTAATCGCGGCACAGGCAAATGTCCAGGGCAGGAACATAGAGAACGGTTATGTGCCGCTGCACGAGGCCGCCAAGCATGGAAACCTTGAGGCTGTGCAGGAATTGCTTTTGGCTGAAGCTCCGCCGCTGCCTAGGACCAGTTCGGGTGAATTCCCATTTGATCTGGCTAAGGAAGCGGGCCAGACGGCCGTGGAAGAATTTCTGCTCAACTACAAGCTGCCTCCAGCAAATACCACACGTGAGCAGTGGTACCATGGCACCCTGACCCGGGACGAGGCTGTGGCCATACTCCAAAAGCATGCCAGGGAGTTACTTGCGAAAGAACCGGGCATAGACACTTCCGGCTGCTTTCTTGTGCGCTATTCCGAGTCGCCGGCGGCCTCTGGATTAGTACTGACTTTGCTCAGTGATCAGGTGGTCAAGAATTTCCGTATTTCGCAAGCCGATCTCTACCAGAATGGTGTTAAGTTACAGTCCGGCGGGGTGAGTGTGTCACTAAATTGTATCGAACTGCCTTTTTAAGGAAGTCTTTGTTTGCAGTCCAAGTTTCTGTACATTGATGACGGCCCATACTGGCCCAGCTTGGAACATCTGATAGCCCACTTCATGCGCTTCTCGTACGGCTTGCCAGTGAGCCTTAAGTTCCCGGTGCCGCCACAGCCCAAGCCGGAGTTGCCCTCGTTCGCCACTATACCTCGATCCATGGTGAAGCCAAAAGCCACTTCGCCAGCAACGCCGCCCACTCCAGTGTCGCCACATTCGCTCCATCAACACCCACATGTGCCCGCCCTGACCATTGCGAAGAAAAAACAGAAGGAGAACAGCAGCTCCATGTTCAATACTCTGCGTCTGACGAGTCCGAAGAAGGCTCTGTTCGACATGAACAGCCTACGCAAGAGCAAATCCAAAGGCAAGCGCAGCGAGTCCGAGAGCAGTGTTAGTGGTTCAATGGCCAGGACGGAGCAGGAGCTGCAGGCAGCGGCCCCCATGCTGAAGAGCCTATCCTTCTCCACGGAGTTCTCTACCTTCAATGCGGATGGCGGAGCAGTTGCCGCTGGCGGCAGCGAAGTGTACAACGTGCCCAAGAACAACACACCCATTGAGATTGACCTGCCACCCATTGCCCCAAAGACTGAAGCCGAAGTTGAGTATTTCACGAAGAGCGATGTGGTCATCGAGCGGGAGCGTGCTGGCCAGTTGATGACCAATGGTTACCAGCCCACAATGGACGTGCTCACATTGTTGGACCAGCAGATCAAGGCACCCGCGGCAGCCCGTCTCAACTCGATCGTCTCCACCGCTTCCACGGAGAGTGAAATGGCCAGTTACCTTCATCGCAAGTGCAGCGGCACACCCACCACGCCCAATTCCACCGCCGTGGAGGCGGCCAAGCTGAGGTTCTTCATCGAGCCGGGAAATCTTGTGCTGGACAGCGAGATTGGACACGGGGAGTTCGGTTCCGTGCACAGTGGCTGGCTGGTGAGAAAGAGCGGTGCCGGCGAGGAGTACCGTATGGAGGTGGCCATCAAGATGCTCAGCGATGAGCACAGTAACAAGCAAGAGTTTCTGCGCGAAGCCTCGGTTATGATGAGGTTGGAGCACAAGTGCATTGTGCGACTGATTGGTATTTCGAAGGGGGAGATGCTTATGATGGTGCAAGAGCTGGCTCCGCTGGGCTCCATGCTGCAGTACCTCCTGGATCACGGTGCTGAGATCTCGGCCAATTCGGAGCTGAAGGTCTGGGCATCGCAAATTGCCTGTGGTAGGTTTAAATCAACAGAAATTCGACCCTTTTCAACTAATTTTTCAATCCATTTACTAGGCATGCACTATCTGGAATCTCAGCATTTTGTGCACCGCGATCTGGCCGCTAGGAATATTCTCCTGACCGCACGCCACCAGGCCAAGATCAGCGACTTCGGCATGTCGCGATCCCTGCGGCCCGGCAGCACGGAATACCAGTTCACCCAGGGCGGCCGTTGGCCCATCCGCTGGTACGCCCCGGAAAGCTTTAATCTGGGCATCTTCTCGCACGCCAGCGACGTGTGGTCCTTTGGAGTGACCATCTGGGAGATGTTTTCCCTGGGCGCACCTCCCTACGGCGAAATATCCAATGTGGATGCGATTAAGTTGGTGGACAGTGGAGCGCGTTTGCCGCAGCCCGATCTCTGTCCTGCTTACATCTACGCCGTGATGCAGAGCTGCTGGAAGGAACGACCAAAGGATCGACCCACCTTTGTCTATCTCACGGAATTCTTCGCCCGCGATCCCGATTACCAGAACCTGCCGGAGTTGGTGCAAACGGTTCACATTTAAGCCAGTCCCACCTTGACCCGTTCAGAGTGCAATTTTCTATAGCTACTTCTATGTCGATGTCTCTATTCCGTTTCGTGGCGTATTAAAGGGAGGACACGCAGACCATGATTGTTATCCCGTATCCTAGTATTCATGTTTATAGATTGTAATATATTTTATATACAGATGTACAACCAATTTGTGTCAAAAGAAAGCGAACAAGTGCCTTAAAAGTTTTATCATATTAACTTTGTATTCAAGTTTACAAATCTATTACGTTTTATATTGGTTATACGCAATAAAAATATATATTTTTATATAGACTATGATATAGCCCTTTTCAAGAAAATCTATTGGTCAACATGTCTCGATTCATTAATCCTTATAAACCTACTTTAAGAAAATGATCTTAAATCTGGGATTGGTTATAATTTTCAATATTTAAACATTTAATTGCAGTTCTTTTATATAAAACGGGGTAACAAAAGTAAATAGTTTGCTTGTAAAACGCTTAAATACTAGGTTAGTAATATGGTTTCTTGGAAAAACTAAATCTATATTAGGACTTTCGTGAAACTACAGAAGGGATAATATTTTTTTTTGTTTTTTTTTTCGAGCTAACACAACAGGAATCATGCTGACCCGTTTATTGCCTGCTTCACATTCGATGCGCTGACGAGCTTCAGGGCGCCCAGGATGCCGTTCAAGTTCTCCTCGTTGTAGGGCTTTCCCTGGAGCGGAGTGACCACCGGAACGAGCTGATCGCTCTGCGGCAGTTGGATGCCGATCTCCTTCATTAATCCCTACGAGATGAACAATGGTTAGGGGGAATATTAATTAATAATACGATGATCTTACGGCCTCCACTTCCACGCTCAGTTTAAGCTTCATGTCCTGCTCATCGCCCTTGACCTCGAGATCCTTCTGCACCGTGAACTTGGGCGTCTTGCCGATGACCCAGTCCCAGGAGCTGTAGTTGGAGCGCAGTTCCTCGATGCCGGGGAACCATTTCTCAGTGGGATTGATCAGCTGGAAGCCACGCTGCTTCATTGTCTGCGTACTACCGCCGTCTTCCAAGGTGGTGGCTGCCGTCCTCAGGTACTCGTAGCCCACGGCGGAGCGCAGTTGGGCAACGTTCACCATACGATTGACATCCACAAGATTACGTATCTGCGACGGCACCGAAGCAGTCGCTCGGCTAATGTAATTGGCCGGCTCCCGCACCAGAGATTCGCCCAAGTGTAGCTTGTTGGCGCTGGCCAGGATGGTGCAGTGGTGGTACGAGTTCGGGTGTCCCAGCTTGGCCGCCGTCCCGGAAATCTGTAATTGAACAAGGGCGAATCAGTTAGGTGGGCAACAAAGACCAGATGCACAGCCCCAGCTGTGGGTAAAGTGGGCTGACGTTTGTTTTTGGGGTCAACGAGGGGTCGCCCCATTGCCTGATAACACCCAGTCAATTGCCAACGCTCCTCCTCACCTTTTTGTTCATCACGACGATGTCGTCGCGCTCATTGATCTCCGCCTTGATGGCCCACTCGCGGAACAAGGCCCTGGTCACGATGTTCAGGTTGTACTTGCGATCGTAGCGCTCGCGGGGCGAGAAGAAGGTGCAGTTGAGGTTACCCAGATCATGGTACACTGCTCCGCCGCCGCTATTACGGCGTGCGAGGGTGATGCCGCGCTCCACCAGCCGCGAGACATTGGCCTCGGTGAAGGGGTTCTGGTGGCGTCCAATGACCACGCACGGATCGTTGGCCCACAGCAGCAGCACATGGTGGTGGCTAAAGTCAAAGTTCTTGTACAGCCAGTCCTCCAGAGCCAGATTGGTGAAGACATCGCTGGACTGCGAGATGAACACGGACTTCTTGATCTCCGAATCGGGCACCACGGGTGGGGGTTGGCGCTTGGCCTTCCTGATCTCCTGTTGACCAGCTGATGCAGGGGGCTCCACTGGTGCTCCGCTGGAGGCCAGACGGGTGAGGAGCAGCCGCAGCTGGCTGGAATTGCGACGCAGCAGCCCGCTCATGGCTGACACAAGGAAGTGTGAAGTGCGCGGCGAGTAAATTCTGTTGCCAGGTGAACTGAGAGGCAATGCACTTGCAAGCGAAACAAGGTCAATGGTGTCGAAAAAACTCTCTTGACGGGTTGGTTGGTCTCTACGGTTCTCTGCCTGGTTCTGTGTGTGCTCTTCTTTAGGTTATGTGTGGTTTTTTCTTCTTTTTTTGGGGGGGGCTACTATCTACGCTATGTATTCGTTTTGGTTTTAAATGGCTTTGGTCGCTCTGGACTTTAGACTGTGGCGGTGCGGCTGGTCCGGGATGTGTTTGCAGCCACGGAGCTGGCGGAGATTAGGTATTCGTGGAGGGCGGGCGTCTGATGGAGCCACTTCCAGGTTTGGTGCAGACCACAGACACGCTTGCGGAGACCCAGACAGTCCTTGTTGGCACAGTTCACTGGCATACTACGCCTCACACCCATCCAGGTGGGGGATACAACGGATCCGGTGTTTACGGGGGGCCGCAGAGATACGGGGCCCAATAGATATGGTTGCTGGCTGCCAAAGGGTTCTTTCAGCTGACACGGAAATTTTCCACTCTTTGTTCGCGATGGAGGGGCGCGCGGGGAGGCGGGTGATTACGGGTGGGCGGGGGTATTAAAATATACTTATACCACAAACAAACAGAGGAGGCGATCGAAAAGCAGCTGCGCGTGTGAAAACCGAGCACGAACGATTGAATCGGATTCGGATGAGCAACTCTTGTTCTTCCTCTCAGGCCCCTCAAATGCCATTCACAGCGAACCACCGAAAGCTCCAGCATGTACATATGTTTTTTTAAACAAAGGCATTCTGGCGCCGCCAATAATTTCATTCCATTTTACTCATTTTAATTCGAACTTGAATAATTTACGCTAAACATGTGTGATATTTGAGTGAAGTCTAAAACAGCTGTGTGACACATTAGTGTTTATTTTACAAGCAGCACACTGCGGGGGGCTCTCTAGTTGGGAATACCCCCATTGTTGATGTACGCCGCCTCCTCGGGATCGATGGGCTTGCGTGCAAACCGCGCCGGCAACTCGTAATCCTCGATTGCTGGTCCTCCGGCCAACTAAATAACAAAGAATACAGAATTGATTATTATGCCAACCAGAAGTCCTGATATCGTAGTTAATGAAATGGGCTGGGTTAACCTTTTTGCCTCCTGCTGGCTGGGAACTTGCCTGCTGGTGTGCGGACTGTGCTCCCGGCGCACCCACTCCACCCTTGCGGAAGTGGATGAGCGGTACGCGCTTGGCCAGGGTAACGAGCGTTGGGCGAACCATTTCAAAACACAATTTAGTTTCTACCGAATTCCAAGGAAAAAGGTAAAAGTTACGTCAATAACAGCTGACTATAAACTCCCAGCAGTGATGCCAGATCTTTACACTTACTGACCAACGGCAGACCTATCGTTATCGAAACGTCCCTGTGGATGGCAAAGCGGAAAGAGGAAGCAGAGAAAAAACTATTTTGCTTTTGGTTAAACATTTAAATTTATTATAATTTAAACGAATAATGGATAATAGACAGACGGCTGTCGAGGCGTTCAACTGCGGAGCGGATTACTCAGATATTTGGCTGTCCAGAGCCTTAGCCTAGAACTAGGAGGGCAAAGCCGAAGTATATACAAACAAATTGCAATTGCCGCTTACAAAAACACACATCAAAAGGCATTTGTAGGAGTTTTTGTAGTAATTATTATTAACTATTCAGTTTATATGGGATTTGTAATCGTCCTTGTTCAAATTCCAGGCGTCAAAGTCCAAGGAGGAGGTTTCTGGATACCACACAGCCCTGCCCCTATAAAACCAAACTTATATGGTTGCTGGAATCCTGTAGCATAAATAATATAAGCTACTTACCATGAACGCTGCTGGAGGAGGCAATGGACCCCAGGCGGCAGCGGTGGCAGGAGGCAACAGCGGTCTTAGCAGTAATGCGCTCCTGGCCACGGCTTCCGCAGCAACCACGATGCCAATGGCCCAGCTGGCGGACGGCTGGCTGGAGCTAGAGTCCGACCCTGGTCTCTTCACCCTGCTACTCAAGGATTTCGGCTGTAATTTTTAGCAAAACACCCTCCAAAATATACCTCTAACATACCTTCATCTCCTACAGGTCATGATGTCCAGGTGGAGGAGGTGTACGACCTACAGAAACCCATCGAGAGCCCCTATGGTTTCATTTTCCTCTTTCGCTGGATCGAAGAGCGGCGTGCCAGGCGCAAAATCGTGGAGACAACGGCGGAGATATTCGTTAAGGATGAGGAGGCCATTTCCAGCATTTTCTTTGCCCAGCAGGTGGTACCTAATAGCTGTGCCACCCACGCCCTGCTCTCCGTTCTACTGAACTGCAACGAGAACAACCTGCAGCTGGGCGACACACTCAGTCGGCTGAAAGCCCACACCAAGGGCATGAGTCCGGAGAACAAGGGACTGGCCATTGGCAACACACCGGAACTGGCTTGTGCCCACAACTCGCACGCAATGCCGCAGGCTCGGCGCCGACTAGAGCGGACAGGAGCTGGTGTCTCCAGCTGCCGCTTCACCGGAGAGGCGTTTCACTTCGTCAGCTTTGTGCCCATCAACGGGCAGCTGTTTGAGCTGGATGGTCTGAAACCGTATCCCATGAATCACGGGGGATGGGAGGATAGCGAAGACTGGACGGACAAGTTCCGGCGCGTAATGGCAGAGAGACTGGGAATAGCCACTGGGGAACAGGATATACGCTTCAACCTCATGGCCGTGGTGCCGGACAGGCGGATTGCCATTACCCATAAGCTCAAGATGCTGCGCACCAACCAGGCCATCGTGTCCGGGACCCTCCAGAAACTACTGAAGGCCGACGAGCAGGGCGAATCGGGGAACGGAGACTCACAACGTCCGGATACTCCCACCACTTTGCTGGAGCCGAGCGCCTTTACCGCGCGGGATCTGCAGTCGCTGCTCAAAAACCTGGACACTGAGATAGCCATTAATGAACAGCACCTGGCCGACGAGAATGATCGGAGACACATGTTCAAGGTGGACGCCAGTCGACGCACTCACAACTACGACAAGTTCATCTGCACCTTCCTCTCAATGCTGGCGCATCAGGGTGTTCTGGGCGAGCTGGTCAGCCAGCATCTGTTGCCGTCGAAGAAGATCAGTGGTCAAGGCGCTGCCAATCGGATCAGCAAGCAGAACAGCACTTCGAATGCGGGCGGGAGCACCGCAGGAGCCGGTGGAACCACGCCCAAAACTCAGCAACAGGCGACGGCGACTAAAAATGGCAAGTCGCCCAGTAAAACGCCGGGCAGGAGGCGGAAGGGACGCAACAAGTGCAGAAAGCGGAAGTAGACTACCAAGAAGTTGTACATGTTTTTAAGAATACAGTTTGCATTTCTAAGACTACTGATTCCAGTATTGTTTTACTGCAATTTCCCCACCAGTAACTAACTTACTTATAAGTTTGGATAAGTTTAGCTTTAGTGCCATCCCAGGACATTCGCCGCTTCTTCAAATACGAACTCATCTTGGCAGCTTCTTCATTTTTATTTGATCGCAATTCGACCTTTTTAATAATAAAAAACCACTTTGTTCGTATGAATAAATGTTCTCGCGGTCCTTGACACACCAAGGACCCAAAAGTGTATGCATTACGTATGAATAATATATATATTTTCTGATATATATCTATATGATAGTTGTATAACAAAAACGTAATCATTCAATAATTCTTCTGGTTTCATTTTCCAATCGGGCGAATCTTAACGTTATTGTAAAATATTTAGTTGCACTCGTTGTAAAGTTGATTCAACAGAAAACAATGCATAAAATTATGTGCAATCGATTACAAACTATAAAAGGCATTTGACGGGTTTGCAAATGGTTAACAAAACATATATGTGTATGAGCTAGACGACTTTTCGTGTTTAAAAACAGGTCAACTTTCTGTTATAGCTGGGTTTCTGGGTGATATCGGGTCGTTTGGATAAGGATGCTTAATAGTGTTGCTGATAGTTTGCTTGACTAAGCCTAAAAGTATTTTATTGGCCTAAACCACAAATGGCTGTAGGTCCTTCTATGCGTATTCTTAAATACGACGCGATGCGATGTGTGTGAGCAATACAAGAGCAGCCTTTAAGAAAAACATATACAATTATGTTTTATTACGATGTGGGTTGTTGTTGCTGTTGTTGATGATGTTGCAATTGTTAGGTTGTCATTGCTGTAGTAGTTCAAAACGTAGGTGTTTCAATTTTGCTCAGTCCCAAAATACGATTAACGGATACGACGACAATGCAACGAACAGGCGGCAAATTTTGTGACTGGTTGGGATTTCAATTGTTCATCTTTGCCTTTGGAGTGTTCAACTTGAAGTCGCCTCAGTGGTCGTGGCCTTCTCCCCGTTCGTTAGCTGCGTGCCTGCTGCTGCCTGCTCCTTGACTTCCTTTGGCTCTCCCTCCTCGGCCTCACCATTATTGTTGGCAGCGGCCACAATGGATTTGATGGCATCGTTAACCTCGCTTTCGGCGCTGTTGGCCTTGAAATGCTTCTCAATTTCGCTGCGCACCTTGACAATGTCATTTTGGCTGTATGGAATAGAGTAACCATTTAGAAATGCAGTCTTCAAGAGGTAAACCATTGCAAAACCTCACCTAATCTGCACGAACAGAATGCCATTGATTGTGTTCAGCATGTCCAGCACAGAGCCCATCGAGGGTGGTGTGATGTGGATGGGTGGCAGGTCACTGGTCAGCTTGCCACTGGAATAGATGTCGTTCATCTTGCGCTGCAGCAGCACAGCCTGCTGGGTCAGGAGGCGCAGGCACTCGGCCGAGTCCCGGGTCTTCTCGTGCTTCTCGCCAAGCTGATAGAAAATGTAAGATTTAATTTAATTTATCCACTTATAGTTTAGACTTCACCTACCTGTGACTTGTAAATAGAGTAGGTTTCCTTCTCGTTGTTCAAGGCCGAGCGGAAGTCACCCATGCAGGACTGGGTACGGGCCATCAGGTGATAGCTAACTGCCACATGCATGGCCTTGTTGCCGAAGTATTTAAGGTTCAGCTTAAGGGCATGCTCGATAAACCGCAGCGACAACTCGTATTCACCCAGCGCATGCAAAATCAAACTTATGTTGCTCTGAAAGGGACAAATACGCCGCGTTAACAACATTCTCTTCTGAACTAATGGCTGAACTTACATCGATCAGTGCCACCTCGGGGTGATCTTCACCGCAGATGAGCACCATCAGATAGCGTGCTCTGTACAGCAGCTTGAGGGACATGCCGACATGTCCGTTAGCAAATGAATACAGTGATAAGTGTGTCTGCAGGAAGAACCAAATTAATACAACATTTATAGTGTAACCATGGTACTTACGTATTCCAAAATGGTCGAAGGATGATCAATGCCGTTCACCCGCTCGCTCATGATCACTGCTCGCTGCTGGATGGCCAGAGCATCTTGGGCATCGCCCAGCAGGTAACTGAGCCTGGCCAGCATCCGCAGGCAGGATCCGTTCTCCTGGTGCATCGCCCCAAAGACGTTGTTCAGCAGGTTGAGTGCCTCGCTGATCAGCTCGTAGCCCTCCTTGAACATGCCCTGCTGGATCTTGGCCTGGCCCGTGGTGTAGAAGTTGTAGGCGTCTGTTGCCCTTGGGCTAATATGCTTTACCACCGGGAACACGTTGACGATATCGTCGTCGCCAAAGGTTGGCTTGTGCTTGGACTCGAAGTTGTACTCGCGTAGCAGCACCTGAATGCCAACCTTCAAGCAGAAGGCGCGCAGTAGGCTGATCCGCAGGATCCCGAACTTGGTCACAGCGCTATCGATCGAGTCGCAATCTAGCTCCCAGTCCCAGTAGGCCTTGGCCTCCCGCCGGATCTGCTGCCACAGGGATCGGGGCGTCACCAGGGTCCAATCGGATGCGGATGAGGCATTGGAGGAACCAGACGAGCTGCCGTTTTGATTGCCAGACGCCTGCTGTTGCTGCTGACCCTTTCCGCCCTTGGAGGACTTGTGCTTGTTGTGCTTGCCGCCGTTGCCGCGTTTCTTGTGCGCCTCCTCGCTGCTCACGGCCGGATTGACGGGTCCGTTGGTCAGCAGACAGTTGAGGAAGTGGCTGATGGCGGCCGACAGGTGCAGTGGCTCTGTGTTCTGCATGTAGGTGTAGTAAATGTGCTTGGTGGCCCGCACGATCAGCTCGAGGATGGCGATCCTGTACAGGTAGTCCATGCGCGGCATCTGACCCAACATTTTGATAACCTTGCCCAAGTAGCGCACGTTTATGCCGTGGCTGTGCAGGGATTCCGTCAGACTCTGACCATCGATCGGTGGCGAGGAATGGGCCAGGTGCTCCTTGATGAAGGCGGGAATTTGCTTAAGGACCAAGAACTCGGCGGCCTCCTGTACGAGAACTTTCTGCTTGGCCAGAGAGCTGCAGGTGCCCTCCTCGCCATCTACGTGACGAATGCCGGGCGAGAACACGTCGGGGTTGAAACGGAAGTCGAACTCTTTCTCCTTCAGCGAGCCAACGGCGGCGCAGGCCCGTTTAACCACCTCGGCAGCTTGCACCTCGTTGGAGGTGGCCACATTGGACTGTGCCTCCCGGATGGCGTTAACCATGGCCTCGGCGGTCTTTGTGTCGCTGGAAGTGGGCTTCTCCTCCTTCTCTTCCTTCTTCTCCTCCTTGTCGTCTGTGGTCTCAGCTCCGTTTACCTTAGCTTCCGCCTCGACTCCTTCAATGGCGGGTACTGGTTTCTCCTCCACCTTTTCAGATTGCTTCTTGGCATTGAGCTGCTGGAGATGCACGGCGGCAATTCGGATGAAGCTCACATAGCGATCCTCGATGAAGGCTTCGAGCAGCTCTTGGCGCAAGCAGCACAGCTTGTGCCGGTGCTCGATGGGGAAACCCATATCGGCCAGTTCCTTGCTAATCTTAACATCCTGAAGCTTCAGGAAGTTCACGTCTGGCGGGAAGGTACGCAACAGGTCGAGGATGTAGTGCCTGCCATCGTTGCCGATGATGCCCTTGCACTCCACCGAGGAGCACAGCTCCACGGGCTCATCTCGCTCGTTAAGCACCGCGTGCGGCAGGATCTTCAAGTGCTTTCCCGCCTGTCGCAGAAGTTCCAAGTACTTGGGATGGCTCAGCACCGTCTTGCCAAAGTCAATGGAGCCGTAGACAACGCTCTGCTCCTGCTCCCGCTCCAGAATTCCGGGAATAATGGACTGTGCGGTGACACGGTAGCCGCGATAATCAATCACCACGGTTCCCAGTGTGTACAATCCTTCCACATCCACGGCGTTGTAGACCCGCACACCGTGCAGATCGTAACGCGGGGCAACAAAGGCGGCTGCGTCGCCGCCCAGCTCCTTGTAGTGGTCCCTTACATCGAAGCCCAGCGAGAAGAAAATGTTGTTCCAGATGAACATCTGCATCTTGGAGTCCTCGCCGGGATTGATGGCCAGCACGTTGCCGTCAATAACGGCCATGGCGCCCCTCGTGGCGGCGGTCACGAAGTCCCCGTGAACTTTAAAGATGGCGCGCTCGCGCAGCAAGCGCTCTGGCAGTGTCTTGCGTGGCAGTTCCCGCGTCGTCTGCAGCTCCTCGTTCCAGTCGCGTGTCTGTCCGGGGATGTGCTCCTCGTAGCTGTGGGATTAGAGGAAAATGTAAAATGTATTAGAAAATCCTTATTAAGGTATCCCTACATATATTAACTAATCTACTATAGACAAACTTTATTGGAATGAGATCAGGTTTTTTAAGTACTTTATTTATTTTTATGAACACAGGAGGCATAGACACACTTACCCCAACTTGGAACTAAACGCATCCTCGGCGCGAATGGCGTCCACCGTGTGCTCCAGGGTGGGCGATGCCCACTGGTACACCTGGTAGGGCGTGGCCACCCGCTCAAAGGCGTGGCGCATGGTGCGTCGCTTCTGGATGGTCTGGAAGGCACGTCGGAACGATGGTGATATGTGGGAGAGCAGATCGATCAGCGAGTGGCTTAGGTGGCTGGGATTGTCGGGTTTGGGGTTGAAGGTGTCGTCCGTCGACTGGTTGATGTAAAAGCCCTTGGAGCAGGCGGAGATGTGGAAGCGTTTCTCCTCCATGGTGACAACGTACAGATACATGAGGTCGCCGTGCAGCTTGCGGGGACCAGGTGGCGGATTCCAGGCGGATGTAGTGAGTACCTTAAGAGCCTGCGGTCCCTTTGCGTTCTTCACATTGGGATGCAGTGGCAACAGTGGCGGTTCGTACACACCCGGAGTCACATACTCCGGCGGCGTACAGTCCACAGAGTCCGGCCTCGTCTTCTTCTTGTCCAACAAATCGCCCTGCGTGATCGTGTTCAAGTAGGTCAGCGAAGTGCAGTCGATGCCATTGTAAGCGTCCGCCGGATCAAGGTTCTTGAGAAGATCGCGCACATGGCGCACATGGATGCGGGCCTCCCGCATGGTGTACGGCTCCTCTACCACCTTGATGGTGGAGCCCTGCTCCAGTTGCTCGATTGTCTTAAGCTCGGCGAAATTATCCAGCGTCACGTTGTCCAGCTGCAGCGAGAAGCAGGTGCGATGGCAGGTCTCCTCTCGGTCCATCAGCAGCTGGTGGATTTCCTGCACCAGTTCCATGCTCGACAGCTGGACGCAGAGCAGGTCTGCGCCGGGACTGCTGATGTTGACCGTGATACCAACGTCGTGCAGAGCGTCCAGATCGATGTCCTCCCCATCCGCCTCCGCATTCGGAGCTCCGCCGGCCTCCGCCTTCTCCACATTGGCATTGGCATCGCCCTCCTCTCCAGCTACCTTCTCGGCATGTCCGTTGCTCAGAGCTGCTTCCACGGGTTCAGCAGTGGGTTCGGTCGGGCTTTTGTTGCGGTTCTTCTTGCCTGCAAGGGGGCAAAAAACGTAATTTGTTAGTCAATATTAGGATAGGCATCTGGAGCAGAGCATTGTATAACATATTCGATGAATGGGGAAACATGAACTTTGGACCGGCTTTTATACAAATGTCTTCAGTAAGAATCTTCTACGAATTGTATTCTTTATTCCAGACGACGACACTTTGACTAGAATTCCATAATTTGTAGGAAAGATCTATGATGCACAAGGGCAAATATATTATATTGCACTTATTTTCATTAGTTTCAACATCTTTTTCACTTCCATAATTAAGATAATACTTTTATATTTATATTATTATTATAATTCTAATTCAACGGGAACCCTTTTTTAAAGAACTACAACACAGATACTTTTTGTATAGACTAGTTTTTACAACCTTTTTATCGGACTGTTAGATTATTAAGAAATATGTTATCAGTACTATCTCCATTTTTTTACTTTTATTACTCGAATAGGTGCTTGATTTTTAAGATTAATGGTACTTCAGAGGGTATAACATTTTTTTTTAGGTATTTAAAATAAACTTTTACCTCTTAAATATTTAGTGAGCTGAAAAAATTATATTCAAGTGGCCTAAATTCAAATGATTTTCCCACATCTGTCCCAAATTTTCATCGTAACTTCTATCTTTGATTTTTACATAACAACACCGCATGTTCGCATACTTCTCCCCCTCACTGTGTTCGTGTTCGCCGGCACAGAACATACAACAAAACAGCAGAAAAACAAACAGAAAGAGGAAAGCAGACTGATAAGGCCAAAGGGGCCGGGTTCGATGGATCGTTTGGAGTCCGTACACCCAACGAATAATCCAATCTCTCTTTCCGATCTCTCAGAGAAATAGGCTTAGCACGGTCATGCTAATTTCAACAGCCACATACTAAATTACAGCACTGTGCGATACAGAGAGAGAGATAATGAGAGTGGGAGAGAGCGGAGAAAGCAAAAGTGATAAGTACAATGTACATTAACCACAAGAGAGCGAGGAAGAGAGGGTGGGAGAGATTAACTCTTTCGAGAGTGATACCACAGCGATGCGATGCGTCTGGCGGATAGAAAACATGATTTACATAATTGTAGAGCGATTTGCGTGTGTTAAGTGCATGCATTTCGGGCCGTGCACGTGTTAATTGTAGGTTAAACGCAACAAGAAATCCGCCCGGGGGGTTAATGAACATTTCGCCGCCGTCGCCGGGTTAATAACATGTGCGTTGCCATGCCAAGAGAGTGGGAGAGAGGGAGAGCAACACACTTGCAGCTCTCGCACACGCACTAAACTCCAATACACCTACATAAGTACTTCTACAATTGCAATTGTAACGCACGCGGTTTCTAGAGGGGGCGGGGGGTGGCCGGGCAGGGAAGGGGCTGAAAAGGGGGGCGGAGGGGCAGCCATAGACAACGGGCGCCGCTTTTAAAGCATTATAGGGGAGAAAAAGGCCATTACGTAATGTTAAAATTGTTATGTGATTGGCTTTTGCGGCAAATAAAATATTGAGGCAGTTTCCTAGGCAGCGCAGCGAAAAGGGGGTGATTTGGGGGGTGCTCATATGCATGGGCGTGGGCGGAAAGTTGAACGCACCTTTCTTCTTCGCAGCCGGACCGTCGACAGCCGTGCCATTGCCATTGACCAAGTTCTGATTCTGATTCTGCTGATTCGGATTCGGATTCTGATTCTTTTTGCCGCCGGCCGTGTTGTTGTTCTCCTTGGCCTTGCCGCTGCTCTTTGTTGTTGCCGTATCGCCCGTGGCTATGTTCTTCGCCTCCGTCTCAAGCGCCATGCTAACTGCTCCTGTTCTGCTGTTCCCGTTCCCGATTCACACCTGCAACTCAACACACAGCGTTCACGTTTCTTCTTCTCGGGCCCGTCCGTCCGTGTTACACAACTCTAACCGCTCGCCGAGTTCGGGATTTCGATTCGATTTCGAGTGTCTTTCTGGTCGATTGCGAACGTGATTGTTGTTTGGCTTTGGCTAACGATCCCGTACGCATCTATGACAAGTGGCTCTTTGGTAGTCCTGTTCTTTTCAGCACATTACTTATCGAGGATTTAATTCGGCCGATCCGATCCGCTAAAAAATAACGCGTTTGTTGACGGCTGAGAGTGTGGCCCACGGCTGAAAGTTCGAAAATACCGCTGGAAAGGGCCTGTCGCCTGATTGGGTTTGGTATTTCTGTGGTATTTTGTGTAGTATTTGTGGTCTGGTAGCTAGAGATGGGAGTGGAAAGCGTGACACGCTCGTTGTCCTGGAATACCAAATGGGAACGACATTCGTTCAATATATTTCAGTCAGTGAAATAATGTACATTTTAAATCCAAAAATTTATTTTCTTACAAAACAAATCCATTTTCAAGACCTTTCTGAAATGCCAGTAGAAAAATTATTAATTTTAAATCGCGGGAACGTTATGTTCCAATTTTGGTTGGTATTTTAATACTATTGCATTACTGCCACACAAAATATACTGTTTTTTGAGGCAAACAAAATGTCGCTTATAAAAAACTTGGTTAAAGAACATGAACCAAAACCAAAGAAAAAGAAGAAGGATGCAGATGGAGGATCTGGAGACAGCGATTCCGATGGAAAGGACAAGCCCCTGCGGCCATTCGTCAAAACCGCCACAGATCTGCAACGGTTGAAGCTGGAGAAACTCATGAAAAATCCGGTATGTTTTGATGGGCTTGTAGGATCGATTTCTTATTAATGGATTTCCAATTTCTAGGATAAACCTGTGATCATCCCTGAGCAAAGGCGCGAACGGGACTTCATGTCCTCGGTGCCCACCTTCGTCCGGAATGTGATGGGCAGTAGTGCAGGAGCGGGTTCCGGAGAGTTCCATGTGTACCGCCACCTACGCCGGAAGGAGTACGCCCGCCAGAAGAACATCCAAAACCAGAGCGCCCGCGAAGCTGCAGATGACGCCTATCAGCAGAAGTTGGATGACAATCGTCGGGCGGCTGAAGAGAAAACTGCCAAGAAAAGAGCCAAAAGGCTGAAGAAGAAACAGCGGGCCAAGAAGCCCAGGGACGAAAAGAAGCCACAGGCTAAGGAAGCCTCAGAGTCTAGTAACTCCGATTCCGAGCAGGAAGAAGCTCCAGAGACAACTGAGGAAAAGGGAGACGCTAACGTCGATGAAGTTAAAGAGGATAAAGATGAAAGCAAGGAACCTCCAAAAGTTGAGGCAACAGATCAAGATTCAGAAGCCTTTAATGAAGGATCTTCAGCAGGAACCACTAGCGAAGAACCTAAGAATGAAAGCAAGGAACCTTCAAAAGTTGAGACAACGGAGAAAGATACAGTACCCAGTAGTCAAGAATCCACAGCAGCATCCACTAGCGAGGAAAAAAAGTCATTGGAAACCGAGACCACCGAAGGTACATCTAAAGAATCCGAGAATGCAGACCAAGTACCAGACAATCCCAAAACGGATAACGAGAACTAGACCTAACTACCATTGCATCCCTATTAATAAACCATTTAGTTATTAATAAAACAAATTGCAGTTTTATTGGTAGTACTTTTGTAATATATATGAGACGATTTCTATACATCGCCTGTATCTGGGGTCTTCAGCTGAGGACATCGTTCTAAAGCAGTTTGGTTGAGACAAAAGCAGTTTGCGAATCGCATTGAGTTTTCATGGCTTTAGTGCGCATTTTGTTATCTTATATCAATAAGGTGCATCAAATGTTGCATTTGCGAGTACAATAAATGCTTTCAAAATTTGACATCGAAGGCAATACATAGTCAAGACTTTGATTATACCCTAGACAAAAAACCACTGCTCAAATTTTGGGCATAAACATTTTTTTTGGGTTTCTTGAAGAAGCAAGTTTTTATTGTTTCCATTAATCTGATTTCTTTGAATCCAAAAATTCTGTTCTTCTAATTGCTGGATTTTTCTGATTTTTTTCTTTGATACATCTATACGATTTTTGCTTTTCCACAAATAATTATTTATATTATATTTATATATAGGTATATTTTTTTGCCGTTGCTCTTAAATAAACAATTACAAATAAGTTTGCAGCATTTTTCTACTATGTAAACCGTAAACGTAAATTATATTTTGAACTTAAAGCCAACTTAAACTTGTAAGCGATTTGAAAGGTATTTGTTTTTGTTGAAGATCCTTTCGCGAAAAAGAACACAAAACAGGACTTGGGCAAAGTGAGTACGGTAAAAAGAAGCAAATTGTTGGTATCGTAAAAACTACCTCAATTATGGTAAAAAGCATGTATTCAAGTAATTCTCAATAACAAACTTCTCTTTGTGAGTACAAGTTTTCTAAGTTGTTGAAATACTTTCTCTTGCTTATATATTTCTTCAGCGAATTTAGCTATTATTATGCTTAGTTTGCAAACACTTAAACACGTCAACGTCATTGAATTTCTCGAGTGAGTGCGTGTGCTCGGGTACATTTTGTGGATGGAAAAACATTTCTGTGCCAACTGTCGAATGAATTACGCTTTACCATTGTAAATACTTTCCATTCACATCGAATTCTTGGACAAACTCAAGTTCGTATGCCTGTTTTGCTTAGCGAGCCTGTGCTGGGTTACAAAGGAGGGGCTTTAACTTTAAACGATAATCGTAGGTAGGTATATTTTTAGGCATTAATGTATATGTACTTTGTATATAGTAGGTAGGTAGGTAGTTAGTTTAGTTAGAAGGTCGTACAAATAAATAAATAATTCGTTTTCGCCAGTTTCATTCAGTTTTAAAATACAATTATGTTCATTTTGCTTTCGGACGCTGACACAGAAAGCGTCTGGAAAATAAACTTCCGCGGAGGTGGCTGAGACTGCTCGAGTGTGTGGTGTGGGTATGTGATTTAATATATTAGCTTTATTTATGTTTAAATTGAGAAGTAAGCAGAACCCTTGATGAGTTATCCTCTATTTTAACGACATTCCCAGACCTTAACTGTTTGATCTACGCTACCGCTAATAACGTACGGATGCGCTTTGTGAAAATCTGAAAGTGAAAAAGGCAACGGAATTAGAATATTATTCATATTGAGGTGTTTTCCGAGTACCCACCTATGGAGGTGCAGAAATGCTGATGCGCGTATAGCGTCTTCATGCATCGCTTGTTGCGCAAATCCCAGACCCGGATGGTCTTGTCATCGCTGGCCGAGACCAGGTACTTGCCGCCCGGATGGAATGCCAGACCACGCACCCAGTTGTCATGGCCACTCAGCGTGAGCAGGCACAGGCCGACGCTCACGTCCCAAATGCGAATGGTCTTGTCGCGAGAGCCGGAGGCCAGGAACGGGCCCTGGTGGTGGCCCTTCTTGTTGTCCGCCCCGGCTGCCTCGTTTATCGCCGAGGCTGCGGCTTCCGGCGCCCAGGCAATGCACTCCACTGTATGCTCATGATCGCGTAATTCAACCTGCAGGATTGATAATCAAACCAAAGTGAGACTTCATCGCCAGCTATGGCTTTACCTCGCCGTGCTCACCTTGCAGTCTTTTGAATTCGTCAACCAAACACGTATTGTCTGATCATTTGAGCATGTGGCAAAGATGCTGCCTTCGATGTGCACTCGTACCATTCGCACCCACTCTCTGTGGCCTGTGTAGGTTTTCACACAATAACTAAAGGAGAAGAAATCAACAAGTTGGTCAGATATCCTTCATAGGCCTTCCTCTCAACTCACCCTGTGGCCACCTCCCACATTTTGATGGTGCGGTCTCGCGATGCGGACAGTACATAGTCTCCGGCGGGCACAAAGGCCACCGACGAAACATTGTGATCGTGACCATGCATGGTTTTGACACACTCGTAGCTCTGCTGGAAATCCCACAATTTGATGGACAAGTCCGCGCTGCAGGAAGCTGTAGAAAAGGAATGAACATTAGTTGGCTCTAGTAAGTTCCTAAATATAAGTAGTGCTTACCCAAAAGCTTGCCCTGAGCATCGAAGGCCACATCCTGCACCGAGTCTGTGTGTCCCTTTAGACTGCGCTCGTACTCGCCGGTTTCAAAGTCCCAAATCTTAATGGTGGCATCTTCGGAAGCGGAAACCATTAGACCAAAAATGGGATGAAATATTACCTATAATAATGTAAAACAAAGCTATTAGTCACAGATTGCAATCCGGAGAATCCTCGCGATGCCAAACCTACCCTCGTTATGCTGGCCCGATGACCCGTCAGGGAGAATTTCTCTGGCGGCCGGGGTATCCACTCGCCGGGCGTCCGTTTGTTCTTTGTGGGCGCTCCCTCGATGACCTCCTTCTCAGCTTCAGTCAGCTTAGCCTCTAGTTCCATCACCTTCTTCTGCAGCCGGATGACGGACGTCCACTTCTTCTCCAGCAGTCCGCCAAACTTCTTTTCCGCTTCTGTGCTGAGATCGGCCTCCTTGCGGAAGGTCTCCAATGAGTCGGCGTAGCCATTTGAGCCCAGGTAATCGGCAATCGCTTGGTTACTAAAGTAGTGCGGATAACAAGGATTAGTTTGGGGATTGTTTATATGATTTAGATGATCAAGAACTTACAGCTCCTCGCGCTGCCGCTGCGACAACACCATTTTCATACTGTTTTCCGATTTGGCTTGTTTTGCGCTGCTCTCGTTTGATTCGTTTGACCGCCTTCAATTCGTGCAATTCTGCAATGGTAAAAGATAAAAATTATTAATAAAACTCATCTAAATAAATGTGATCTATTGAAAAGACCTTGGAATTGTTTTCTGATGGTCAATAGATTATTTTATACATGTTTTAGAATATTTTTCTTCTAAATATAATCCTATTAATCCACTCAAAATTCCTCTATCGATGTTTCACTGTCTAATCATATGATGAATTGCTGTTCTGGGGACAGGAAATTGGTTTCGCAAAAACTAAATGCCAAAAATGCCAGCGAGTTTCGTTTGAATTCTCATGGAGGGCAAGTCACCCACATTTTCTTGGATTTTTTGGCAACAGTATTTGTGTTTCCTATGCTCATCTTTCGCCTAGTCATTATATTGTTTTATTCTCTGCTTTTTCAAACCCAAAGCGGAGCATCATCATTATCATTATCATCGTCTTGGGTTTCTGGCACAAATTTGTCGTGTTGCTCCATACCTCGAATAATTGGATAAAAAATAATAATCGAAGAGCTGGTAAAGCTTAAACCGAACAACCAGTAACCCTGCAATCAAAATGCAATCGTCATCAATAGGTTCAAGGGTCAATCCCCAAACGCGAAAATCTAAGCTTCCAAATTGGAATTAGGCAAAAACAACACAGTAGCGGGGGGTTTTCTATAATTAGACCTATTCAATCAACTCAAGGTGGACAAATCACAGGTGTATGGCACGCAATAAAGCCGCAATCGGAAACCAAAAGCGAACGCATATCTGGCGTACTTGATAACGATGGACAAACTGATGGACATCGGACGCGTTGCCAACTACCAGAAAAAACGACGCTAGGCAAGGTAAAGCAAAGCCAATTAGCCGGACTTAACGGTAGTTCAAGCAACTTCTTATAGGTAAATAAGGCTGCCAAAGAGCGTGCGAGCGAAGAAGCAGAACAAACACAGACAGCAGAGGTAGAAATGGTAGCACTAATTTGTCTTAATGGATTATGTTTAATTTTTAATAATTCCCAAAAGTAATTGGATTCTTATGTGCATGAAGTTGGCAGAACCACTTTGGATATTTAAACTTTTTTTATTGTTAATTGCAGTTTGTATCCGTACAGTATTCGTTAATAAATTACATTTTTTTAATGAGATGTAATTGATTCCAGAGAAATTAAAATCAATCTATTGTGAGTCACAAACATTTCCAATACTTTTTACATTCCATATTCAATAATTGTAAGCAGAACTTACTCTATTATAACAAAAATGTCTAGTTTTATAGAATGACAAATAAAATTTTTCTTTTAAATTAAGATTTACTACTAAAATTGTTTGTTTTTGGATTTTCAAGTACCAATATTAATATAAGAACTTTATTAAACATCAAGCTTTTCCCTATCCACAAACCCCAATTTCAGAGCCACTATTTCAGTCTCAACTGTAAAGCACGCTCTTACACGTCAACTGACTAGGAAATGACGTTTTCAAATTATTTTTGGCCAAATGATATTTAACGATTTTTTTGAACTAGCAAAAATGGCAAAAACAAAACTGACCAAACGGGTTGGGAGCCGCCACTCAAACCCAATATAAACGTGAGTCATGCGGCCGAGCGAGACTTGGACTTGGACTACTCTACTCTGCTGCCTTATCAGCGGTATGGAAGCACCCTGCGCTCATCATTTAAATATTGTAGGTGGATATTTGCCTGCCCGCTAACTGCGCATCTAAATATATCCCAGGAAAATCAATGAAAAGCGTAGCAAACGCGTCACAAGAACTAATGGAAAACTGGAGCGTGGGCTATTGGGGGGTTAAGATGGGGTCCCTTTAACCCCACGAATGACGACGGAGTCAACGGCGTTTGTGTTGTGGCAACCAGGCATTCCGAAACACCAAGACATGCGCATTGGTAACCGTAAAGCTGTGGGTGTGTGCCACATAGGAAAAATAACAATAAGAAGGGGGCGTTTCGGGTCGCACGCTTTGCCAGAAATGTTACTAAATCAGTGTACAAAAAAATGCAATTCTCATTGTTGCACTTGCCCAAGCTAATTTAATATTTGCATTTTAAATGCTCTCGCGTGGGCGTGAGAGCGAGACAGTTGGCAGGGGGAGGGGATACAGACCAGGGCTGCACTCTATCCCCCACACACACACGTAATTTAAGGATGCCACTGGGATATGTATTTCTCTCCCACTCACTCCCCCTTTTCGAAATTCTCTCTCCCGCTCTGGCAAACAGACCTTGCACTTGCCTTTGCTTGTTTATTTGCGTGTTTCATTGATTAACACACACACGCGCCGAGCAAATGCAATTGCAGTGCAATTTCAAGTGCAAAGAGAGAGGGAAAAGAGAAGGAAAAGGAAAAACAATAGCCGAAAGCTTTGAACTCCAGCTTTAACCCCTCGGCGGGCTGCAAAAGCAGGGACTAAACAGTTAAAAAGGTGGAATGTTTTTCACTTCACTTTAACCCATTGCTGGGAACGTGCAAAAAGCTCGCCAGATAATAGAAACAATTTGCAGTGTCAGGAGCGCTTTCCACACATTCTGGGAAATCGCAACGGGTCTTGAATACCTAAAAGAATGCCGCAGTAAAAAAGCCCAAACCAAAACGGAAAAACTGTAAAAGACAAGAACAACAATAAAACGAGATTTCTTGTGCATTGGCAGAACTGGTTTGGGCTATTTCTCTAGCCAGCAATGGGCGGTCCGTCTATAAGGGGATTGGGAATGGGAAGTATGCAAGGAATCGGAATGGGGGGGACTTTGGGAACTTGACTTGGCTAAAAATCGATCAATTCTGCTTTTGGCGAGGGGGAGGACTCCAACACATGCGCGAAAATCCACAGACATCGACACACACACACAGGCACGCACACCAACGCACGCGATGTGTCATCGCTTTCTGGTGGTTGTAAAAAAATGTAATCGCCGTTTGTTTCTTCACTTATTTACTAATCGCTTATTGTTCAACACACTCTATATATTGTGCATAATTTGCATAACTCTTTCGCTTGTTTTCCCCATTTTCTTTTCAATAACAAACACAAAGCAACACACAATAACAACAACAGTTCGAACGAAAATACTGTTACGACGGCCATCTTGGATAGAGAGAGGGGCCAAGAGAAAGAAGTGTCCCAAAGTCAATATGCAAAATGGGGAAAAGGACAAATGTTCATATTAGCACGCACTAAACCTTGATTTTGGGCGATTTCGAGCACTTAACTCGGTGCATAACGCGCGCACTAACACTATGCCACTGAAAGTGTCTCGCATAAATGGCACTTTTTACTATATCATTTCTCCCAGTTGCCCATTATACACAGTTGCGAAAAATCCATTTTGAGGGGTGTTTTTTTTTTCAACGCGGCGACTTTATTATTGTTTTCCTATACTTTACTTACATCGATTTACTGTTTCATATATTTATAATTGCGTTTATTTATTTATATTTAATCGAATTATACGAAAAAATTACGCAGGAAAATGACGAAAAATGCTTCGATAATGTGACCGCAGCGCGCGAAGCTGGAAAATCATCACGGGACTATCGATAACGGTGTTACAAAGTTCTGATAGTTGTATCGGTTTGGCCGTTGAAATATATGGTATTACTAAAAAAGTCCAATTTTGAACATATTAAATATCTAGACAGATTTAATAAAAAATTGTAAACGATGTTTTAATTTTATTTTTAGCATACACCATTACAAAAATGTAATTTATATTCAATTTTCAATTTTAATTTATTTATTTATTTCGCCAACAGTTGGTACCTTAACTGGCTACTTGTCTATTACTAAACTAAATACTAAGGGACGAAAGGTAATTGTAAAGGGTTTTCTTAATTAATTCCCTAGGGGAGCATGGGTCCAGCCGCATGTGAGATGGTAGTTTGTTCTAGTAGAACAAGGCTCTACACAGAGGCTCATTAAAAGCATAGTTAGCTCTATATGCCGGAATAAAAAAAGGTTCAAATGACCTTAAAGACCTACCAGGTACGGAAAAGCCTATGCTACTCAGCAATGCTGAGCCATACATAGCGTATGCCTTTGGAATTATGTAGTTTATGTGATCCATGAAAGTAAATTTGGTATCAAACATAACTCCTAGGTCCAGTGATTCATTTCTTAAGGAAAGAACATGGGAACTAATGGAATAAGAGCTAAGGACATTAATTAATCGTTTGCTGTACCTAACGTAGAAACATTTTGACACGTTCAGAGGCAACTTATTACGAGAACACCAATTTCCCACTTTTACTAGGTCATTTTGAAGAAGTTCACTATCGGAGATTGAATTCACAGACCTAAATATTTTAAGATCGTCCGCAAACAACAGGAATTCGGAATTTGTTATGCAATAGCTTAAATCATTAATGAAGATGATGAATAGAAACGGACCCAATGCACTTCCCTGAGGAAGGCCAGAAGTAGCCACATACGGGTTTGAGAAAACACCATTGCACTCTACTCTATAAATCCGCCCATCTAAATAAGATTTAAACCAATTTAATATTGATGAATGAAATCCCAATTTCTGCAATTTTGCCAATAAAGCATTATGGGAGACTTTGTGAAATGCTTTGGCGAATGCAAGCACATTGTTTAGCAAAATGTAGCATTATTTAGCAAATAAACAAAAAAGTATTAACTATAATATTAAAAACAAAATTTTTTTAACCAGAACTTAATCTTTTACTTAGATATCAGCAAAGTGTGAACGGTGTAGAAAATTGGCGCGCTTTTTTAAATCCGTTTGCCTGAAGAGATTACTCGGTTGAAAATTCAAGGTGAAAAATAAACAACGGGTTGATAAATATTTTACCTTTAACAGCATATTAAGAGCCATTGTTGAGCTTTGTTTGTAGCTAGAATGGTCGCAGGCCCGTTAAACTTTTATACACCAAATTGGGTTTCTGATTAACTATAACTTTTGAGTAAATCTCTCAATATAACAACTGCCCAATTCGCTCGTCAGCAATGCAGCTTGCCAATTGTAACTCAACTGAGTTTGTTGTTATCTTACTCACACACTCGCGATGGGAGTAAACTTTCCTTATCAGTGCCCTCTCAGCGCCAGAATAACCAGCAATCAGCTCAGTGTTTGAGAAACTCTCAGAGGAAACGGTTATAGTAACTAGTATTCGGGCGATACTTTCGTTCTAAGTAGTGCTAGTGCCCAAAAATATTCGCGGTGTCGCGCTCCCCGTAAAAAGCTACAATAAAAGCCCACAATTTGTCACCTGTGAGTGCAAGTGTTTCCAGCCATATCAGAGCCTTTCATTGTGCCAATTGCCAAATAATGTAAATCATTGCCAAATTTAGGCACTCGAAGTGTTATCAGTGATCGATTTAATCGGCCATTTGTACGCATTACACCCCCCAACCGAGATAACCAATAAGTTGGATCGCTAGATAGCTAGATCGATCGTATCGGAACCGTATATTCCGATGCCGTTTTGCAACGGAAGCTACATCCGAACAAGCAGATCCTCCATATATAGCGTTCTGAAAGCGAAATCGAATTTATGACCCATCCATATGCTTTTTGTTGTTATCTGACCGACACTGATTATATGCCAATGATAAAGGCAGCTTGTTCGTGTGTAACCGTTAAATGGTTATTATTGGCTTATTTGGTGTTTGGAAAGCCCGGAGTAATAGCAATGTGATTTGTTTGCCCAGAACCGGGCAAATTGTCTCCATTCCCCAGACTCGGTTTCTGATAACGACTCTGTTTCATTAATAAGTATCGAAAGTGTCATTTTATTTGCTTTAAAGAGCTGTCTTCGCCTGCTTCTGTAGCGCTAACAACTGAAATTAGTAATTAGTGCTGCCAATTTCGAGGTATCCGTTCGATTAGGCCCTCGGTGACGCACTCGCATATCGGCTATATAGTTATGTCTATAGATACAGATACTCCCCATTCCCGACATAAGCGAATGCGTGATGGGATTGCAAACAGAGCCTTGATTAATTGCATGCGAATTCGAATCAGTCGTTAATTTCTGCAAGTATTATTGGGTTGTCCAACAAGCCAGATTATTATCAGTGTCTATATCTGCTGGCCACCTCTCCAGCCTGTGAAGTGCCTCGATAAGATTCTCGGGATCCGAAAAAATTGCGCCTGACATTGGACACAGTTTTATACCTCTTTATTTCTCCACGTATTCCCGCTAAAATTTAAAAACATGACTCCCTTGAGTGTAAGATTCTAGAGATCCGAAAAAATGGCGCCTCACGTTGGACACAGTTTTTTACTACTATGTTTCCCCACGAATTCCCGCTAAAATTTAAAGACATGACTCCCTTGAGTGTAAGCCCCCGACTTTCAGATAGCTCCCTGTAGTATCTCGTCCCGTTTATTGTTTACATTTTCCAATTACTTGTGGAATTTCTGAAATAACCATAAATCGCTCAAGGGCAAGTGTGATTCAAAAATGTACGAGAGATTGTATAAAATACTTATTCGTTCCTTCATTTGTTGCGCTGGTCAGCAACTCGGGGATCCAGAATCATCGCTTCCCACACATTTTCGAGATTTTCGAAAGTACTGTTTACGAATCACCTTTCGTTTGCGCACGTACAGTGAACTCTTATTTATTTGTTTATGCACAAATTAAAAGTGTATAAGCCAACTGATTTGCAATTGGGCGAGGTTATTGCTTCGCGGAAAATCCCAGAAGCAACCGGTTGTATTAGCTCGTCGGCGATCACCATTAATTATAAATATTAAAATTTAATAACGCATTACTCACTGGAACAGCAACTGAAGCAATGAGGCCCTAAAGATGAACACCAAATATTGGAAGCCATTGTTTAAGGTTTACGGGTTGATCCTCACCCTATGGATACCCTGGGTCCAAGGACAAACCGATCCTTCGCCGGTTCCATTGATTGGGAGCGAGGAACTAGCCGATAGTAAGTATTCTTTCCCTATTTTTAACGGATCAAAATATGTCGTAAGTCGATTTTCAGTTCCTCTCTATAATATCTTAACTTAATTTGTTTCAATAGGACTACATATATTAATACTAATAACAATACTATTATTTTTTAGAGGTCACTGTGTCTGTGGTTTCTGCGGTCTATACACTCAGTTTTAGTATCCCAGATGAGACGGACTATGCCATCGAGGGAGTCACCTGTCGCAATGGATCCGGAACAGAGACCAAAGCCAACGAGGCTAACGTGGTGTAAGCTTATTCAGCTCTAGAGTTTAGCGAGAAGCCTTACTTATATCTTTAATTCGTAGCGAAAACCTTAATCCTTGCACCTTCTACTCCTGCGTGGTTTCATTCCGGTCAAATGTCGTTGGAAACCACCCACCTTCAGACCAAACGGTCTATGCCTATACCGAATATAAACGTGAGTTCATATAGTACTTTAAAAAATATAATCCAAATTTATGGATTACCGCAGAGCCCAGGACCACAATGACCGCTGTGGTGGCCACTGCGAATACCATAAAAGTGACCTGGCAGACTACCGATCGCGCTTGTGTGGAGTCCTTTGAAATCACGGCAAAGACGTCGGAAAACTCTAAATCCGCAATGCAGCTAAGCGATAAGAATTCGCAAACTTTTTACGAACTAAGTGCCTGTGTTACGCACACTGTGACCCTGGCCACCCGTAATAACGCCAGCATAGTGGTGGATACGGACTCCACCGAAGTGGACACCCAATACGCTGAACCCGGTGATCTAGCCATTAATGTAACAAACTATGCCAGTGGAATTACGATAGTCTCTTGGGGAGATCCCACCGAGAAGAACTGCATCAGCAACTATGTCTTCAAGTGGAGGCGGGACGATTGCGGAAAGGATCAAAACTTGGATACTACCACCACGGAAGAACCCAGCACTGAGACTACAAACGATATGGATTACATCACTGCCACCACAATGGACACCACTCCAGATGACCCCGACATTGAAGGTATGTGTTGAGGGCTCTTAAAAGATTAATATCTTTCTTAAGAAACATATTATCTTTTAGTTGTATGCGATTGGAGCGATGCCTCAGCTGATGGCAAGCTAAGGGAATTTCTCTTAGCCGATCTTCAAGGATGTGAGCCCTATACCTTTCAAGTATTTATCAACGAAAACAAAACGGCCAAGGCTTCGACGCAGTTCACATCGGCTGAAAACAGTGGGTATTTAGGATTATTAAACTAAATAATCACTTATCCTATATGATAATTCCCCAGTGGCCAGTGCCATTTATGAACCCAACTTTACTGCGGAATCTACTCAGTTACGATGGACCTGGTCGGCTCCCCAAAATCATCCCAGATGTGTGGCTAACTACAGTGTAAAATTGGCAGGACCCACTCAGCGCTCGGAGAACCAAACTTATGAGTTAGTTACAGAGGAGAGGTTCGCTACCTTTAAGGACCTTGATCCATGTGGGATATACATAGTGGAGATTGTGCCCATCCAGGTGAATGGAAGTTTGGGAGCTAGGTTCCAGGAACAGAGCACCGTTGGCGAGGATCGTAAGTGAATCCGTACTTATTTTTAACTGGTAACTAATCCCTATCTATTCTTGTAGAGCCCACCGAGATTTTAGATCCCGAGGTGGATCCCGCCGCTTTTTCTGTGGTGATAAGCTGGAAAACCCCCGCCTACGCTGATCTCTGCATCGATGGTTACCGCCTGTCTGGCTGGATGGATGACGACAAGCTAGTCGAGGTCGAGGCGCTAAGTACTACTACCCAGAACACGACCGTGACCTTCGACAAGAATCTTCTGGCCTGTCAGGTCTACATAATCCAGATCATCCCCTATACCATAGGAAGTCTTGACGGGCAGCTAAGAAAGGTCGAGGTGGAGACCATGGCAGCTGTAGTCGATAGCTCCAAGGTAAGATATATTTAGTTCCAATATATCTATGGAGTATTTTAGTGAGGACTACTTATATGTGTATATGTTAACTTACCTATTTAACTCCAAACTCTTCCCAAATGAAGGTGAAGCTGGAAATGAAGACAGCTGGCTCCGAATTCATAGAGTTAACCGCCTTCAATGCAGACTATAACAACACTTGTGAGACTATTTATGCCCTTTTTAGCTGCAATGCCACCACCACAGTGCGATATCCATATGCGGAGAGATATGTACAGGGACACAGCAAGCAAGGTGGGTATCCAGGTTATAAGCCCCCTTAGTAATACTCTAATCCCACACTATTCTCAGGCTTCAATGCCAGTCTCGAACCACTTTCTCCATACACCACCTACGTCTGCAGGGTGGTACTATACAACATTGCCGGACCTATGGAACCGCTGAGTTTGGCTGGTCTGCAGACCTCTACATACTGTAAGTAGTGTCGGAAGATTTGGGATCAACGTAAGAAAGCCTATTTATGATATTTTTTGCAGTTCCTGAGCAGCCGGAGAACGTTGAGCTAGAAAAGGCCAGCGATAGCAGCCTGGTGTTTGGCTGGCATCCACCCACCTACACAAATGGACCCATTAAGTACTACCTGACCTTCCTGATGCGCCATGAGGCCAGCTACTTTGTTCCCGAGGACTGCACCGAGGTTGCCCAGGACACCAAGTCGGAGACCAAGGGCGAGCCAAATGTCAACTTCACGGGTCTGGCTCCAGCGGTGCGATATATGATGCAGGTTGCGGCACAGAACGATTTCGGAATGGGCATGTATACGAACCCCGTAGTTGGAATCACCTTGCCTGCAGGTGAGGAACATTAGTAACATTAACTATTAAAAAAAACATAGATCAATGTTAATCTGTATATATTCTTTCTATAGTATAAGCTTATGCTAAGAACCTATTTTATCCCAAGTGTTCTTAACGATCTCCAAAACTAGACAACTTTTTTATGTGTAATATTACTTAAGACTTATTCTAGGAAAGTTATTTTATTGCTTTTTGGTATAACAATTAAATACCTACATTTCGAACTATTAGTATCCGAGATCGTAACCGAGCTGACCGTAACGCCTGAGGGTCCCGACAAGAACAACACCGAGTACGGCGCCAACGTGACAATCACCTGGAAGGCGCCCTGCAAGTCCAATGGCGACATCGAGTACTTCCAACTGGGCTTCAAGGGTACGAGGGACCAGTTCGCCACCGTCGAGTTTCAGCGCAAGGTGGAACTGGATCTGGGGAACCCACAGGGTCGGATTAGCTACACGGAGACGGAGATGCAGCCGCAATATGACTACACGGTGCAGGTGGCTGTAAAGAACAGGAACGTGGAACGACTTAGTGGCAGCGTGGTGGGCACATGGCAATCCCCAGCGGGATGTAAGTAATACTCGATAATGCTGAAGGATCCCCTGTCTCATTGGTCGCCTTTTTCAGTACCCACTGTTCCCAGTGAAGAACTGATAAAGCAAATGCGTGCCAATGTGGAGGAGACAACGAATCCAACGAAGACGGCTATAGTACGACTCCCAGCGGACATCATGACATCCGATTCGGGGGACATCAAGTACGTGGCGCTGATGCTCTCGCGGAAGAGCTGTGCTGGAATTCCAGACCTGGAGTTCGATACAACTGGCGACAGTTGGCCCCAGGTTCTATCCTACCAGGAAGCCGGAGCTGATGGCACCGGAGACTGCAGCCTGCAGTACCAAACCACGGAGGAGCGTTGGCAACCGGTGCCCGTTCAACGCCAGGGAAGGATTGTTGAGCTGAATTCCACGTTAACGTCGAATGAGGAAATAGTTTTCACCATTGGACTGGACAAGTGTTCGGAGACCACGAAAAGATTCTGCAATGGACCACTGCTACCCGATACGGATTACAATGTGGTGGTTAGACTCTTCACATCATCTGGTTATAGCGATGCCGCCGTTCTGAACTTCAAGACCAAGGCTGCCATCAAGGTGACCCTAATCCTGGTCAGCGTTTGCAGCTGCCTGCTGGTGGCCTTCGTCCTTGGTTTGGCGGTCCTCTGGGTGCGAAAGCGGTTGGCCTGGTAGGTTTTCTGATTGTTAATCCTGTAGAGAAATCTTATAACTTCCCTTTGACTCCCAGGAAACGAGACTCCGGTCAGGGCATTGAGGATCCCTTTGGCAATGTGATTGCCAAGAACTTTGCCATCTTCTATGCGGAGGTGGCCAAGCCGGAGAAACTGGCTAGGGAGTTCAAGGAGATCACCGTGGTGGCCCTGGAGCTGAGCTATTCCGCCTCCGAGCTGGGTTGCCACAAGAATCGCTATGCGGACATATATCCATGTGAGTCTATATGAAACCTAAGAAAACCTTCTTTATAGATCTTCTTTTAAATAGATGATAAGAATCGTGTGATCTTGGACATAGATGCTGAGGGATCGGACTACATCAATGCCTCTTTTATAGATGTAAGTTGGTGGGGCTGGGCTTCCAGAGATTCCTTTGTTATGTCCTACTTATTTCCTAGGGTCACACGCGCAAGAAGGAGTACATAGCCACCCAGGGACCAAAACCAGAGAGTGTGATGGACTTTTGGCGCATGATCCTGCAGTACAATGTGCGGGTTATCGTTCAGGTTACCCAGTTTCGCGAGGGCAATACGGTAAGCTCACGTAGTATTCCCCTTAAAAGTACAAATAAATAGATTGCCCCTCCCTTAGATAAAGTGCCATGAGTACTTTCCCTATAACATGCGTGGATTGACGGTGACCGTAAAGTCCAAGGAGACCTTAGAGCTATACGATCGAACAGAATTGACAGTTGTGCATGATAAATACGGTTTGAAGGAGAAGGTGGTCCACTTTTACTTTAAGAAGTGGCCCGATCACGGTTGTCCCGAGGATCCCATGCATCTGATCACCCTCGTCAAAAAGGTCAAGGCGGAACGGCGGCCCAGTTACTCGCCCATTGTCGTCCATTGCAGTGCGGGAGTGGGCAGGACGGGCACCTTTATAGGTCTGGATCTGATCATGCAGCGTTTGAAGAGCGAATCGAAAATCAATATATTCGAGACAGTCAAGAAACTGCGTTTTCAGGTGGGTTTATTTACTAGTTACTATTACTAGCTTTATTTTTAATGTTCTTCACCTTTCAGCGCATGAAAATGGTCCAGACGCAGCAGCAGTACACATTCCTCTATGCCTGCACCTACGAGCTGGTGAAGCACAAGATTCCCCGAGCAGCCTTAAAAATGGAGGGACGTCCCAAGTCCGTGACCATACCGCCTATTTCCACTCCCAAAAAGGTGAGCTTCCCGGATGTGGATGTCGGCAGTGGGGACAATGCCTTCGTGGCATCTGCTCCAATGGCCGATCTGGAGAATGGTGGACCCACCCTGCAGCTTCCGGCCCGATATAATGGATTGCGGAAAAATAGTCCACCAGAAGGAAAGGAGGAACCAACTTCGAGCAGCAATATGTGAGAGTTTATGGCATTTATACCAACCAGCCAAACTCATCAGCAATAATAGCCAAAGAAAATGTGTCAAAACTTGAAAATTGTATTTAAAAAACTGTTTTTGTACATACTATGAATGTTATTTATAAAGAAGATCTTGTATAACCGTTAGATCAGTTGTGTGTGTATTTATTAAAACAATTTGTTTTTGTTTAACAAGAAATCAAAGGAAAACTATTTAAATGTCCCACTTTTAAAATGAAATAAATATTATAAAATAATTCTTAATTAATTTTAATCTTTTGAATTCAAATTTGGCGGTAAATGCGAACTTGAAAACCATAAGAGCGAGACAACTATATAGCAGCAGCAGCTGAATTAACAAGTTGTACAACACTCCTCAGGTGTCTAGTGTTGTAAAACGAGTAATTTGGAAAGAAGTAAATAATTTTATTTATTTCGTTAAAAAAAATTTCTACGCTGCAAAATGTCTGAGCGCAAAGTTCTAAACGTAAGTACACAATGATTAAAACTGAAACCCACCACCTAACCACATCCTTTGCAGAAATATTACCCTCCGGACTTCGATCCCTCGAAGATTCCGCGCATGAAATTGGCTAAAAACCGCCAATACACCGTGAGATTGATGGCTCCATTCAATATGCGCTGCAAAACCTGCGGCGAGTACATCTACAAGGGCAAGAAGTTCAACGCCCGCAAGGAGGACGTGGACAACGAGACCTACCTGGGCATTAGGATCTATCGGTTCTACATCAAGTGCACCCGCTGCCTGCAGGAGATCTCCTTCAAGACGGATCCGCAGAACACGGACTACGAGATCGAGGCAGGGGCCACCAGGAATTTCATGGCCCTCAAGCTGGCCGAGGAGCAGGCACGCCGGGAGGAGCAGGAGCTGCGCGAAGAGGAGGCCAACAATCCCATGAAGCTGCTCGAGAATCGCACCCAGCAGTCGCGCAACGAGATCGAGATGATTGAGAGCCTGGAGGAGTTGCGTGACCTGAACCGGCGCCAGCAGACGGTGGACTACACCACACTGCTGCAGCAGTACAACACGGTGGAGACGGAGAGGGAGCGCCTGGAGCGGGAGGAGCGCGAAGACGAGGAGTTTATCAAGTGGGTTCTTCCTGGTTTTCCTGTAAGGGATTTACCCTTAACCTCTGACTTTCTTTTAGATCCGTCAACTTTAAGAACAAAGCCGAAGGAGGCTCTCGAGTTGTGGCCGAGGAAATCATTGAGGAGGTGAAGGAGGATCCGGTGGATCTGCTGCCAGCACCACCACCACCCAAACAGTCCAAGCCCAGCACACTAAAAGTTTCCGCCACCTCGTCCAGCAAAGTAGCGTCCTCCCAGCCGCTGGTTAAAAGGAAGACACCCTTGGTATTGGTCAAACCTAAGGCAGCCACAGTAGCAACTCCCACCGAATACAAACCAACAGCCACGTCAACCTCAACACTACCTGCAACCGCGGAAACTAAAGCTCTCAATCCGCCAGCTGCCGCTCCAGCTGGTCTTTCGCTCTTGTCTGCCTACAGCGATAGCTCCGAGGATTCCAACTGACCAAGCATTTACCTGACGCATTTAACAAATAAAGAAATAAATAATGATCCTGTATCACTAGTAAAAGTATGCCACCTCCCACAAAATGTACAATTCTTGTCAAGAATTAAAAGCATCAAAAACTTATTGGAATAATGCATCATTTTATTAAATATTTTGACTTTGTTTTATATCGTTCCCGTTCATACTTTGTCAAGGCCAATCATAAGGCAAACTAATTTCAAATTCAACCAAAGAGTTAATTAAAAGCAAAAGTAACTGCAAAATATCCATTAAAGGTACACTCCCACTCAATTGGAGCTGTCATAGCCGATTTCCTGGCAACCATTTGATCAACGAGTGTGCTTCGACTTACGAGACTAGGTACCAACTACAATTAAACACTAAGTGATATATACAGAGGTGAATATGTTACGCCTAAAACAATCGGGCAATCAAAATAATAAATAATATCACAAGCGAAAGAAAATTATAAATATACATATACGATACGGATTATCAAATATTAGGTATTACAAGTTCTACAAAATCGATTCTAACGATTAATTTCATAAATTACGAAGACACTGGTATGTTTCTCTAGCTGTCCTATATCCTTAGCGAAAGGCATCAATAAGGCCGCCTGCTCTGCGGTCGTGGCCAGTCAAAAAGTCTGGTCCACCGTCTACAAATTATAATTACGATTTAAACAGTCTTTGTTCGTTTTGGGGGCGGGTTGCGGGTGGTGCTACCAGGTGGTGCAGCCTCCAGTTTTTGGTATATGATCCTGATCATCCTGCTCATTTGGTTTGGGCCTCCCTTCAAATGTCCACTGTCGTACACTTTTGGATGGCGTTGTAGTTGCTGCCGCTGGCTCCTGCGCTGCATTTGCGGGGCAGCACCTTAGGCACAGCTTCGCCCGCACCACCGGCATCACCACCACCCCCGCCACCGTCGTAGTTGTGATTGTTGTTCTGCAGAAAATGCTGCTGCTCGGCCGCAGCATGATTTAGCTCGTACAGATCCATGTCGTCGTACTCGGAGATGCCGAGAGCCCTTGTCGGCGCGTACTGCAGGTCATTCTCTTCATCCTCCTCCTCCTCCTCGTCGTCCGTGTGATGCTTGTGCCTGGGCATGGCCACCACAAAGTCCTCCAGACTGCGCTTCACGGCCGCATCCGAGCCGGTGCCCGAGTCCTTGCTGGACAGATGATCCTGCTGGGCCTCCAAGTCCGCCTGCTGCAGATAGCTTAGGGTCAGTCCCTGCTCCAGGCAGCGCTGTTCGTACGAAGGCGTTGTGGTGACAATGAGGCGACTGTGGGTCGCCTCGCCATTGCCACAACCCAGATCTGCCAGGCTTCGCGGCCTTAACTGCGTCTGTTGCTGCGTGGCAATGCCATCGAGGACCAACTGCGACTGGTGTGGTCTCAGTTGCGTACGATTCAGCGTGGTTAGTTGCGTCTCATCCTTGTCCAGAGTGGAGTGCAGACTGGCCTGCGTGCGAGCTGCCAGCCTCTCGGCAGCCAGACTCATGCGCAGCTTCCTCTTCTGGTAGCGCAGCGTGCACCAAATGATGCAGCAATCCACCACGACACAGGTGACAGTTAGCAGAATTATGCCCATCAGCAGGACGTCCCAGTTGAGATTTTCCTTGACCACTACCAATTCCGATTGGAGCGTGAATGTGCGCGAGTTGTCCGTTATCTCACAACGGAAGTGACCAGCATCATTGGACTGGGCATTCAGGATTATGAGCAGCTCCTTGTTATTCGAAAAGTAGTAGCGATCTCCATCTGGAGCCGTTGGCGATATATGTATCGGTTTGTTCTCCTTAAACCACTCGCGGTGTGGATGCTCTAGCTCAAAATCTGCATTGGCCGTTTCACTAAGGCACTGCAATACACATGTGCGACCCACAACCACCTCCTGGTGCACCAAAGGAATGCTGGGCTGAGGTTTGTCTGCATTATAAAGAAGGAGTATTACTTAAAGTCCTGATAAAGGGCTACAAACAACTTACCATTCACCACCAGCGTGGCATTGACCTTTATCTCGCCCGCAGCACTCAAAGCTGTGCAGGTGTAGATCCCAGAATCGCTGAGCTTGGCGTTGGTTATCAGAAAGGCGTTCTCCTCGCGAATCACTTGAAGCCGGCGCTCGGTTGCCGCTGGGAACTCACTGCCTCCGAACTTTTGTAGAGCTATCTCCGGCGTGGGATCGCCGCTGGCCGAGCACACCAATCGAGCTGTTTCGCCGGCGTCCAGGGTAAGATTCGAGGGCACTTGCAGGAAAGTAGGATGAACTGTGTATGCAAGGGTGTGTGTTATTATAATATATGCTAAAGTTGTAATGTAAACTTACTTCCTATAGATATCTTGAACTTCTGTGCATAGGTGGTTCCAAAGGCATTTGAGACCACGCATTGATAGCGTCCCGCGCTTTCGAAGGTCACATTCGTGAGTCTCAGATAGCCATAGATGGAGGTCTGATTGGTGCTTAGGTCGTGGCGGATCTGCGTCTCCGTGCTGGCACCGTCATGCAGTTCACCCGGTCGTTCCTGGACATGCTGATTATCGTGGCGCCACTTGATCTTCAGCTCATCGGTGGCGGCCAGCGAAGCCGCTGTGGGAGAACTGGCAATGCACTCCAGAGTGATGTTGGCTCCATTCACGGCCAGCATGTTGTCCGGCTCCTGTTCCACACTGGGTTTCGGAGAATCCACTGAAAGATAAAAGGGTTTGAGTAAGTAACTCATACATCGAACCAAAAAAAAAGCTATCTTACCGCACACCAACTCCGAACTGCTTAAGGATTTCAACTGACGATCTAGTAGATGCTCCGGATAGCCACAGACCGCGTGCTCGGCCTGCTGTGGGAAGCGGTTCTTCAGCCATTGTTGGAACCAAATCAAATCGCAGTCGCAGATGAAGTTTAGCGATTTGAAAACCAACTTGTTAAGCCTCAGCATGTGCTCAAAGGCATTCAGTTGGATGCTGGCCAGGGCATTGGATCCCAGATTGAGTATCTCCAGATTGTTAAGGCCACTCATCGCCTTGCTGCTGATCTGCTTCAGATTATTGCCGTGCAAATCCAAGCGTCGCAGTTTGCGCAGAGCCTTGAACGGAGCCGCCGCACTCTGGTCCTCGATGATCCAGGACAGGCGATTGCGTCGCAGATTCAACTCCTCCAGATTCTTCACACAGTCAAAGGTGTTCTCCTGCAGATATTGCAGTCGGTTGTGGGCCAGATTGAGTGTTTTCAGACGATGCAGGCAGTCCAAGTGCTGGGGCTTAAACTCGTTGATGGCGTTGCTAGAGAGATCCAGCACTTCCAGCGACTGTGTGAATTCCCAGGTGTCCACCTCGATGCGGTGTATGGCGTTGAACGAGAGGTTGAGGTGCCGCAGCTTGGTCAGGTTAAAGAGACCCTGGCGGGAAAGTGAACTGATCTGGTTCATGGCCAGATCAATCGTCTCGATGTTATGCATCACATGGAAGACGCCGTCCTGCAGCGCCCGAATTTTATTGGATTTCAGTTGGAGGTTCTTCATCGCTACCAGGCCACGGAACGTGGACCAGTTGATCTCCAGTTGGTTAAAGTTGAGAGCTCTGCAAAAGGATATAGTAGTTAAAGAGGGTCTATAGTGTCATGAGTGGCAATAAGCAACTTACAGCTTCTTCAGTCGGTTTAAATTCTCGAAAACACCTATGGGCAGAGCGCTCAGGCGATTGTTATTTAGTTCCAGGTCCGTGAGGTTATTCAAAGCCGCAAACGAATGCTCGTTTACATTGGTTATCTCGTTGAAACTGAGTATTCTACGGATTAGAGAAAAATTCTTTAGAAAATTGCTATAATCATAGAATATCTAAACAACTTACAAATGAACTAGACTATTGGGCTTCGGAAATGAGTTAACCTCGATGGTGTGCAACTGATTCCTGGACAGATCCAGCGTTCTTAGCAAAGGCAAAGCAGCCAAAGCCTCCCTGGAGATACTTGTTATATGATTGTTGGCCAATACCAAGTGCTTCAGACCACTGAGGCCTATGAATTTGGGTATAGCCTCCAATAAATTCCGTTTCAATGATCTATAATAATTGTAAATTCAATTAATTTCACTTTATTACTTTGATTACCCCAAGCTGCACTTACACTTTTGTCAAATTGGACAGATTGCGAATCTCCAGGACGGTGGTGTCGTTGAGTTTGTTGTTAGCCAGATGCCTGCGGAATAGATAAAAATTAATTGATTGCATTTATAAAATCCTTGGCTTGTAAAATGCACCTCAATTATGCCACAATTATTGATGCATAGCTACTGATAATAAACGAACGGCTTTTGCATAATTTTGCCATGCATTAAATTGATTAAAAGCGCAACGATAAAATCGCAACCCCTCCAAAAAAAGGAAAATAAAGGAAAAATTGAGGGCAAATGTCGATGTTGAGGGTTGTGCCACTCTGTAATTTATATTCGCATAGTATCTCCGGGGGGTGACTCGCCATTTTCATCCCCCAGGAATTTGTGGATTTAAATAATGCCAAACATTTCGAACTCCACCATCAGCTTTTTTTGACGGTTATACATACATATAGAATTTGAGCTATTATGTAGCCTAAAGTTTCAGAAAAATGAGGATAACTTCTGTGGTAATATTATACCTATGTTTAGTGTGTTTACTGTAAACACTAAGCTCTATAATGTTCAAAGGAAAGGGCAATAAACTCAAGATTATGGCAGACCTTGAAAGGAATAGTTAAGTAATTTAATTTTATGTTCATTTATGGGACGTATTTTTTAAATAAAGAATAGTCATAAAATTTAAATGAATACTCCACCAATGATCTTGATTTGTATTTTATTTTCTATACATTTTTCTTTGAAATAATCATTGTTCCTGAGTTTTATGGCAATGGTTTCAGATATATTACATTGTTATCTCCCCTTTTTTTCTGTCTAACTTATACTTACAGGGTTTGCACATAGCTGGGCAAGACGGGCACCCGTTCCAGATGCAGTTTATCGCAGTCGAAGAGGACATTGAGGCACTTGCAGTCCTTGGGGCAGTCTATGTTGTACTTATTATTAGCCTTGGCCGCCGCTGCAGCCGCCTCCAGAGCCTTCTGGGCCTGCTCATACTGCCCGCC